GTACGTTCGATGGGGCACAGAATTCCACAGCAAGAGGTCCGCGGACCGCTGCCGTACAACTCGAGACACCTACATGAGGTCGATAAGCGGCTTTGAGTAACCCTAAACCCTAACCCCTAACCCCTAACCCCTAACCCCTAAACCCTAAACCCTAAACCCTAAACCCTAAACCCTAAACCCTAAACTCGAAACCCTAAACCCTAAACCCCTGAACCACTTGGGTGAACCACTTGGGTGAACCACTTAGTTGCCCTGGGCCCTTTGGGCTCTTCCGGAGGGTTGAGAGTGGCGTTTGAAAGCTTCCAAGGCCTCGGGACTTCAAAATCCTAAGGCGCTATAAGGCCCGAAGACCCGAAGGCCCTAAGGCCTGAAGTCCCTGAAGACCCTAATCTAGGTAGGCCCTCTTGACATTTTTATATTTTCCCTTATTGGGTTTAAGAGGGTCATATTCAGGAATATTTTTCAGAGGGTTCTAAGGGCCATCCTAGTAATACATCCGATAGCCCCTCCACCCTGAGTGGGCGTCTTGTCTTTGGCTCCGCAAGCAGATCCGGTTGCCAGCGCTTGCTTGGCTTATCGTGACCGAACGGGCGCCAGAGAACGGGCTGTTTAGGGTTTGTAGGCTTTAGGGTTTGGGATCTGGGGTTTGGGGTTCGGGGTTTGGGATTCGGGGTTCGGGGTCTAGGGCAGGTTCGATCTGCGAAGCCCTTCACGTTGCGACTTGGCCGGCCAACAAAGCGCCAAACCCTAAGACCCTTTAAAGCCCTGAGCCGATGTCCATGCTTTAGTCACTTTCAGTAGGGTTCCTCAACTCTCTGCGGCCGGTAAGCCTCAAAGCCAACGGTGCTCTGAGAATTCTCCAGTTTAGGGTCTGAAGACTTTGAGCTTAGGGGCACCGAGTCTGTACCTAAACATGAAGTGAGGGTTGAGGGTTTGGGCGCCTCCTCCCCCTCTGCCAGCCATCTATTCTGAGGCGCTGGGTCCTGCACCCAGAGCCCGAAACCCGAAGTCACGATGCAAACGCTAAACGCTAAGCCCGAGATGCACGCGAAGCAGCTCTGGCTGCCCGTCGTCCAAGAAGCCTCAAGCGAGCATAGCGGAAGGCTTCCACGAGGGCGTATCTGAGCACTCAGATGGTTCAGGGCTTCCAAAAACTCTGAAGCACGGTCGGAGGCCCCACCCCATACATGTTGATTTTAACGCTTTTTGTTATGCTTTGTTCGTCGTCGTCGCAGTAGTATTGTTGTCTTTTTTTGGTTTTTGTTGATCATAGTCCCGCTCTTGCGATGCGAAGGATCAGGTAATCCGCGACGGTTCGGGTCAGGGTTCAGGCAAGGGCTTAGGGCTTAGGGCTTAGGCTTAGGGCTTGGGGCTTAGGGCTTAGGGCTTAGGGCTTAGGGCTTAGGGCTTAGGGCTTCGGGCTTAGGGCTTAGGGCTTAGGGCTTAGGGCCTAGGGCTTAGGGCTTAGGGCTTAGGGCTTAGGGCTCAGGGCTCAGGGCTCAGGGCTCAGGGCTCAGGGCTCAGGGCTTAGGGCTTAGGGCTTAGGGCTTAGGGCTATTGCGTAGAAGCCTAAGCCCTACACCCCTATAAAAGTTCGTCATGCTGAGCTGAGTGCGGACAAGTGCCCGCGTGGTAGACCACGTTTTCCTCCATCTGGTCTGCCGCCGCCACTGCTCAGTAGGGTAAGCACCGCGCCTTCAACGTTTGCATGTATCCAGTCCAGTGAGGCTCAGAAAGCCACACCATGTCATGTCTGGTTTTAGAAGGGTGTAGGATTGGCTTTCTACTTTCAAATGCATTTGCGGAAGGATTCGATAGAGCTAGGCTAGAGCTCCAGGGCAGAACTCGAAGAAAACCTTGCAGAGAACCTTGCAGCTTCCAAAACCCAGAAGTTAGATGGAGCTGATTGGCATGTTCTTTTCGCCCTGAATTTTAGGAAGCCATAACCGTACTATATTATCCCGACAACAGCTTACAAAACCTTCCCTCGACCTCCCGAATACTTCCTGCGGTGGGGTTCCCCTTAAGTAGTGTTCCCATCGAAGCTATGTCAACTTCACGAACCCAGGCTCAAACTCCAGATTCCAGACTCAAGCCCGAAACCTCCTAGGCAGGATATGCCTTGAAAGGGAACCCTTCTGAACCGTCTTCCGGCAATCTTAAACAGGGACCGTATTCAGAGGGTCTATATCCCAAAGGGCCCCCCTAATCCCGAGACTCCCCTAAAACCCTAGCCCTTGGGCTCAAAGTTGCCAGACACAACGTTGCATAGCAAGGCCTTCTGCCCAAAACGCCCTCAAGCAATAGTCCTTAGAAACCCTAAACTCCCCTCAGCCCTAAGCCCGAAACCTTATTCAGCTTTACTTCCCCGAATCGGTGGCTCGTCGTCTCGCGGGCTCAAGAGCAAGGCTGCTCACATGGTCGGTTCTTTAAATTCAAGGGCCCTCTGTAAGGGGTTTAAGGTTTAGTGATTTGGGTGAAATTCTGACAGGAGATTTCTTTAAGAAGGGGTGATCATCATGCAAGAAAGGGGCCAGAATGTATGGAGCTGACCACATGGCCAAGACATCCCGACTTGCATGTGGAGCATGTTGAGCTCGATGTGGCGTTGGCTCCAAACGGAGCAGAAGTGCCAAGAAGTTGAATACCCCAACACCATGGCCCAGCGATTTAGTGTCAGTGCTAGCCTTGTTCTATGTTATCGTTTGTAAATTTGGGTTAGTATAATGAATTGTGCAAGTATTTTGTAATGGTAAGTAATATTTCATATCTTCCCAAATTGTTGCCATATAGTTTTGATAGCATTCAGTCTTATGTAATACCAGATATAATGGTTCCATTTTGCAAAATTTTTGTTTACGCAAAAATAATATTAATATCAATACTGGGTATCAACTCATACTGTTGAATCTGGTTATCATGTTTAAGTTTTGTCAATATTTCTTGATAAGTTTAATACTGGGGCCTGGCTGACTCGTCCCCTGCAAAGATAATGAGACCAGCCGCATTGTCAGCCACAGTGGGTTTGGGGTTGAGGGCTTAGGGTCATCGAGACAAGCCTCTCCCTACAGTACACTGGCTCAGCTTCAGACAATATCCCCTAAAGCCTAAACCCTAAACCCTAACCCTAAACCCTAAACCCTAAACCCTAAACCCTAAACCCTAAACCCTAAACCCTAAACCCTAAACCCTAAACCCTAAACCCTAAACCCTAAACATCCTCAGACTCCAAGAGCCATGAGGCCCTGAAGTTGAAAATGTTTGCTCTAGGGGGGGGGGTTAGGGTTTTTGGGGTTTAGGGAGCTTAGGGATTGGAGTTCAGGGCCCCGCAAGCCTGAACGCCGAAACCCCCAACAGCCCATACGACAATGCCCCTGGCACCCCTGGTGTAAATTCCTTTCGCCCCAACATGTAGAGGCGTCTGTGTGTGCTTGATTCTCACAGGGCGTCCCAGCCCTAAACCCTTTGATTGGGGTTGCGGTGTTGGGAGGTGATCTTTACGCGGGTGTAGTGCATGCAGTTGCTGACTTCTGGCTTCCTGGCCGCACCCCTAAACCCTAAACCCTAAACCCTAAACCCTAAACCCTAAACCCTAAACACTAAGCCCTCGTATAGTCCCATGCATCCAGGCCAGCAGCCCCTCGGGGGTTCAGAGATGTGTGAGTTCTTATAGGCTGTAGAGCATGGTTTTATCGGTTTAAGATCTGCCGATGTTGTTAGCACGTGCGTGCGTGCGGTTTTAAGCCCTATGCACCCTCCTCACCTAAACCCGAAGCCTGAATCCTAAACCCTAAGCCTCAATCCTAAATTCTAAGCCCTGACCCGTACTAAACCCTAAACCCTAAACCCTGAACTTTCAAACTTTAAAACCCTGAACCCCTGAGCCGGCGTGTCAACCTAAGCCCCCCTCAGATCACTTAAAGCCGATTGGGGTTCAGGAAGAGGCCCCGAAGCCTTAAACCCAAAGTACTCTTTAAGGTCTAGGATTCAAAGGTAAATCCTAAACCCTAAACCCCAAACCCCAAACCCTAAACCCTCAAAACTCAACCCTCAACCCTCAACCCTCAACCCTCAACCCTCAACCCTCAACCCTCAACCCTCAACCCTCAACCCTCAACCCTCAACCCCTAAACCCTAAACCCTAAACCTCTAAACCCTCAACCCTCAACCCTCAACCCTCAACCCTAAACCCCTAAACCCCTAAACCCTCAACCCTCAACCCTCAACCCTCAACCCTCAACCCTCAACCCTCAACCCTCAACCCTAAACCCCTAAACCCTAAACCCTAAACCCTAAACCCTAAACCCTCAACACTCAACACTCAACCCTCAACCCTCAACCCTCAACCGTCAACCGTCAACCCTCAACCCTCAACCCTCAACCCTCAACCCTCAACCCTCAACCCAGCCAGGGATCGAAGGAGGGAAGCTGGAATTTCGCCGCCCCCCGGGAGAAGACCGCTGGGCCTCCCCGAAGAAGATGGCTCGAGCACTTGCTCCGCCGAAGATTGCTGTCAACAAAAAGGGGAGGACAGAGTTTAGGGTGTTCAGGGTTTAGGGGGTTTAGGCGGGGTTTTTGACCGGCGTTGAGGGGGCTTGGGGGGTTTAGGGTTCGGTGTTTAGGGGGTTTTGGGTGTAGAGCTTGGGGGTTGTAACCTGTAAACCCTGCAGCCCTAGGACCCCAGTTTACAAACTGATTTCCAAATCTTCTAAATTCAGGACCCAAAGCAATGACCAACATTGCCCCGTAAATTTAACCCTCAGCCGTATAAAGCCCATGAACCCCATAAACCCTATCAACCCTACCAACCCCTAAACCCCGAAACCCTGCACACTAAACCCTACACCCTACACCCTAAACCCTAAACCCTAAACCCTAAACCCTAAGCCCTAAACCTTAAACCCTAAACCCTAAACCCTAAACCTTAAGCCCTAAACCCTAAACCCTGAACCCTAAACCCTAAACCCTATTTGGGGGACCGGGGCCTTCCTGTCTCTTAGGACTTGGCCACCGCCTGGGCTCAACCTGAGCAGCATCAGGCACAGCTTTGGGTTCGGGTTTAGGATTTAGGGTTTAGGGTTTAGGGCTTAGGGTTTAGGGTTTAGGGTTTAGGGTGTAGGGTTTAGGGTGATTTGTAGGGGCTTATAACTTCAGGGAGTTGGGGCGTAGGGTTTGGAGTCTAGGGTCTAGGGCTTTAGGATTTAGTGTGGTTCAAAAAGACTTTCCGCACAGACCGTGAGGGGTTTTAGGGAGGTTCAGTGCAGATGTGTTAGGTTCGGCACACAAGATTCACTACTGATTGGACTGTTGGACACGCTGGGAGATTGCACTACACTAAGGTGCGAATTCGACTTTCGGCATGTCTGACAGTGTCCTGCAAAGCTCCGTGTTGCAAGGTTGTCAGGGTATGGCATGCCAGTGCCAAATTTGTCCCAGCCCCGACCTAAACTGACCCCGAAAATTTATCGTGTTCAAATCGTATGCGTCTTTGCACGAACACTCCCCCACCTGAACCCCAAACCCTGAATACCCTACAGGCATCAGAGCCCTCAACCCCCAAGACCTACAACCCTTTGGACCCTTGAACCCCTAAACCCTTAAATCCCGAAGCCCCTAAACCCTTCAACCCCTGAACCCTAAACATTTCCTTGCGTGTTCTCTGGCTACTTGGGAAACCCGGCGTCCCTTCGGGTTTTCGTGCAGGTGAGCGCAAGTTCGCCTCCGCGGCCTTTCGCTCGGCCGGCCTCGGTGCCGAGGCATTTGGAAGGGGTTGGGGTAGGGTTCAGGGTTTATTAAGGTTTGGGGTTTAGGTTTCAGTGTTTGAGGCGAATTGGTTTTTACTTTTAGCTTCGGGTTTCGTGTTAAGTTTTAGTGGTCAGGGACCATTCGGGTAGTTTTCGTACAACGGGAGTCCTTGTAATTGTTTTCCTACAAAGCCCCCCCCCCCCCCCCAGACACCCCCAATTCCTAAACCCTATCTCGGGCTCGAAGAATTCAGCGCCTTAGAGATTTGGAGCTGGAGGTCTTGAAGGGTTTTATGGTTCGGGGTTTGATTTCTTTCATGGTCTAGAGTCTAGTGAGGCTTGAGGGACGCCGGTCGACAGTGCTTTGGATTAGGGCTTATAGGGTTTACAGGGTGTATAGGGTTTGTAGGGTTTATAGGTTTTATATGATTACATGTTTGTTTAAAGGGGTTGAAGGGTTTAGTGCCTGTAGGGTTTATAGGGTGTAGAGTGTGTATAGGGACGAAAGTGAGGAAGCCAGTGGGATGATTCGTCTCTTTCTCTTTTCATTCTTCAAAGAGAGAAGGTTTAGGGTTCAGGGTTTAGGGTTTAGGGTTTAGAGTTTGCCAAGCCATAATCCCGACTCAGACATGGTGCAGGCATAGAGCCTTCAATGGCTCCTTATCGCCAAAACCTCACATTGTACCCAAAGGTCCATGCCACATAGGGTGTAAGGGGTTTATAGGGTCGAGGGCCTCGGTTTGCGGCTTTTAGTGTTTACTGCTCAGGTTTCTACGGGGTTTAGTGTTTACTGCTCAGGTTTCAGGGTGTTAGGGGTCCCCAAACCCCAAAACCTTAAAAACTTAAAGCTTCAAGCCTCGGGCCTCAGGGTTTAGGGTTTGGCATGTTGGGAACCAGGGGTTTCCTTGTTCCTTCAACCGCCCTCTCCTAGAGAAGCTTGTGAACTTTAGGCCCCGCCCGGAAGGGGAGGGGAACCCTAAACCCTAAACCCGAAACCCAGCCCTAAACCCTAAACCCTAAACCCTAAACCCTGAACCCCAGGCCCGAAGCCTTAAGTCGCAAATTTCCTTTGAAAAGCCAGGATGTAGACTCTGAGACCCTGCGGCGCATTTGGGGGTTTACGATAAGCAGGGACCCCTAAAATCGACCGGCAAGTCCCCTTACGAGAGTAAGGACCCCAATAAGGCACCCAACCCCCATTTAAGAGTTCTCGGAATCCTTGAGAGCTGAACTGCCGCAAGACCCCTGGTTCTTAGTAGGGAATGGAATTAGGGCCCTATATATACCCTTTAAGGGATTATATAGGGTTCCCTCATTCCCTACGAAGAACCAGCCAGAAGAACCCTAAACCCTAAACCCTAAACCCTAAACCCTAAACCCTAAACCCTAAACCCTAAACCCTAAAGCCTAAAGGCTAAACCCTAAACCCTAAACCCTAAACCCTAAACCCTAAACCCTAAACCCTAAACCCTAAACCCTAAACCCTAAACCCTAAAACCAGCCGGAAGAGGCTTGATCTACAGTCCCTGTCGCCCACGCGGATGGCCTGACACGATCGAGGCCAGCTCATGGGCGCAACCCTAAACCCTAAACCCTAAACCCTAAACCCTCAACCCTCAACCCTCAACCCTCAACCCTCAACCCTAAACCCTAAACCCTCAACCCTCAACCCTAAACCCTAAACCCTAAATTCTAAACCCCTAACCCCAAACCCCAAGCCCCAAGCCCCAAACCCTAAGTAGCCTGGAGAGTCCGAAACCCCAATTTTCATCCCGAACCCAAATCCCATGCCCGATGTCGGAGGACGCCTGGTCGTACCCTTCTTGCCATCTTTTTGGGTTAGGAATCCAATTTTTCAGCAAACCCTAATCCCAAACTAAATCCCAAGCGCTCAACCCTAAACCCCAGACCCCAAGCCCTAAACCCTGCGATGTCACGGGAACCCATGGCATGAACTTCATCCCACCTTCTGCCAGGAGCGCGTGGACGTGTCGGAAGTCGGTCCGCCCGAGCCGCCCATGGCCTCATGCCCGCCGGGGAGCGAGGGGGGTGAGGGGTTCCCTACTCTCAATAAGTAGGGAGTGAGGGTATCCCCCTACATAAAGTCTCTACGGAGATTCTATAAGGTACCTAGCTACTTCCCTTCTAGGAACCAGGAACTTTTAGGGGTTACGGTTGAGGCTCCCTGAGCCCTAACCAGGCCTCTCGTCCGCCCAGATGCGCAGGGCTGTTGGGACCCTGCATGGCCCCAAACCCTACCTCCTCGAAGCCTCGTTAAATTTCAACGCCCTAACAGGGTTTAGGGTTGAGGGTTTAGGGTTTAGGGTTTAGGGTTTAGGTGAACGCTAACACTAAAGGCTTCGCCACGTTGACGCCCAGAGTCATGCTCGCAGCTGTTCCTGCTCAAGGCAGGCAGGCCCCTTTTAGACGTTGTTTGCCACATACTTGGTTTCCGCATCCCAAGGCGACTTGGGCGCGAGCCAGTTGCACAGTAGACATGTGCGGGGGCGAGAGCCCTAAAGCCTACAACCCGCACGCCTTGACCCCCATGTAGACCCTGAACCCCTAAACCCTGGACCCGGCAGGTCCTCATAATCCCTAAAACCCTAAACCCTAAACCCTAAGCCCTAAACCCTAAACCCCCCAAAACCCCTAAACCCTCAGCCCTCTAAACCCCCCCCAAGCCCTCCTTAAAACCCTGACCCCAAATCAGGGACTCCACGCCTTGACCCTAGACTATAGGGACTCCCTCCCTAGCTGTGATGCCCGCGTGTAGGGCCTAGGGTTCAGGGGTTTCGATTTAGGGCATCAGTGGGTGGCAAAGGTGACCCTGGAATAAGGTGACCTTTGTCTTTTCTTCATTTAAACTTGTGTCCGAGAAAATGTATATACATATATACATAAATATATACATTATATACATATAGGAGGTGCCTCTCCAGCGATGGAAGGGGGTGTCCCTCCAGCGCTGGAAGAGATGCACCTTCTGGCACACGTCAAGATTCGGCTTCCTTGGCCAGGCTGTCGGCTTCTGACTTCTTAAGTTTCCAAGCCAGCCCCAAAGTTTGGCCCCAAAGCTAAGATTCCTCTATCTAAAGATTTTGTAACGAGACCAGGCAATCAACTTTCGAAGGGTATAATCCAGCAGCTGCCCGCCTACCCTATCACATAAAACGCTTAAGTTTCATTGCTTTTAAGTTTTTTCGTCAATTGTATTTACTTGTATTTATTTTTAACATTTATTTTGATTGTTTTCAATTTTCAATGATTTCAAAGAATCAAAAATAGTTTTCATGAATTTTAATTCATTTCAGTAATTTCAATCAATTTTCATTAACTCTTAAATGTTTCATATTGAAGTTAAGTAATTTTAAGAAGCTTTTAATATTTTTGCTTAGTTTTAATTAGCTCCTATTAATTTTTACAATTAACTTTATTGATTTTAGGTTCTTTTTTGACTAATTTTAAGTATTTTTGATGAATGTTAACTGGGCTGACTCAATTTTTAAAGTTAGTTGCAATTAATAAATTCTAAATATTTGTTATTCATATAATTCATTTTAAGTTATGTTTATTTGTGTTAATTATTTTCACTAGTATGAATTGTAATTACATAGAATTAATGTTCGGCAATTTTTCTCTAGTTTCAACTGTTTTTGGTGAATGTTAATTTGTTCATTTTTTACATAACTTTAAATTCAAAATTAACTAAATAATTCTAATTGTTTGTTATTGATATAATGCATTTTTCGTTGCGTTCATTAGTTTTACTGGCAATATTTCACAGATTCAATTTTTTTGCATGAATGTTGATGATTAGTTTCCTTAATTTGCGTAGCCCCCCATCCGCGTAACTAACCTGCCCCTATCTCTTTGCCCTCCCAAAAAGAGAAGCCCCCAATCCGCGTAGCCAACCTGCACCCCCCCCGCCCCCCAAAAGAGCAACCCCCCATCTGCAGCCAACCTGCGCCCCATCTCTTCTTTGCCCTCCCAAAACAGAGAGGCCCCCGATCTGCACTCCCCCCCCCCAAAAAAAGGCCCCCCCTGCGCGTAGCCAACCTACACCCCATCTCTTTGCCCTCCCGGAAATATCAGAAAAGGGAAGCCCCACAAAGAGCAGCCCCCCATCCGCGTCGCCAGCCTGCACCTCCCTCCCCAACAAAAGAAGCCCCCCATCCGCGTATCCAACCTGCGCCCCATCTCTTTGCCGTCCCAAAAAACAGACTCCCCCCCCATTCGGTGTAACGAACCTGCGCCCCGTTTCTTTTGCCCTCCCAAAAAGGAGAAGCCAGCCATGCGCGTAACCAACCTGCACCCTTATGCTTCGATGGGCTTCGCGCGAGACCGCGCTGCACAACTCCACTCTAGAAAATTAGCCGATCATACAACCGGCAAGAGTATTGTCTCGACGACTGCCCAGTCAATCCACAAGTACTTAGCTAGATGTTGGTGGGCTGGGCTTTTTAAAGTCTAAGTCTTGGCACTTAGGGGTTCCGGGCTCGGCCCCTAAACTTCCATCCTGTCCTTTTCCTGACCAAACAAACGCTCGACCCCAAGTACCTATGCCCTTTTCCTGACCATCTGCGAGGCCACGTCAACCCAACATTCTTGATCTAGGAAACCGATGACAGCCGCCAAGGCAATCCCGCTCATCGAGGTGCTGGTTCGCAAGTTTCAAAAACGTCAGCGACAGGCGATTTTGGCTTCTCGGACGAAAATTCCAAAAATAATACCCCAAGTTGTGGAACAATTTGGTGTTGACACACATATTGCATCAATGCTGCTGGAGGAACTCTGGTTGAGCTGCGACCGCCAGCCAAGCGCCGGCCCTGCGCCCCCGGCACAGCTGGCACAGGGCCCACTGGAAGAACTGCCAGTCCAGGTGCCTTGGGGCTCAGTGCATTGTACTTGGGGTTGTGTAACAGCCCAGCATATTGCGGTTTAGCCTTGTCGTGTACTAGTAGGACAACCAAGTTAGACAACTTGTAAATCGATGCGGCGTGACGTGTGATAAGGTTTGCTTGACATGGGCATAACAGTTGCTTCCACAGCCCTGTAAGAACATTGTCGTCTATGGCGCAATGATCGCTTCTCACAGGGCCAGCTTGCTTCCATCAAGCAGTTTGGGAAGGGTCTACGTCTCCCACCATGTGGGCCGGGGAAACCAGCCAAACAAGCACGACGTACTATTTCCCACCCTCAATATGCGGTTGTTAGATTTTAAGTCAACCATGCTCCTCGCTTCTTGGCCCGGCGTCCCGCCCGGTCGGGCCGTCCCCAAAGACCCTGCAGAGAGTCCCGCCGAGTACGAGAAACCTCCCGTCTTGAATCGTCGGCGCACAGGTCGCCGTCCCGCCGGCTGGGCAGCGGCAGACGATGGCTGCGACGCACGCCGGACGCAGTTTGGGTGCGCGCAGCGGAGCGATCAGCTCCCAGCTGTGCCTCGACCTGCTTCTCGGCAGGTTCATCAACATTTTCTTACTGCGTCTACGGGGGGCCATGGAACAACTGTATCAATATAATGTTTCATAACAAATTTCACCGCAAGCCCGTCATGACCCAGTGATAATGCACCCCCCGGGCCAACACGACCGTCAGCTTCGGACTCATGCCAAGCGGGCTTCAGGGCTTAGCCGGCATAGGTTCAGAAGGCAGTGCCGCAGTGCCCGAAGGCTGAATGTTTTCATACACATACTGCTCCTCCTAGTTCCCACAGCTGAAGCTTTGAGGGTTTCCTATGTGGCTTAGCGTATCGGCCTGAGCAGTTGCAAAAGCCCCAGCCGAGTGTCCATCGAAACCTCGCGTAAAGCAGATCCGTCGCAGGGGGAATATCTTAAGCACGGACTTCATTGTGATATGAAGTCCAGCTGTTGGCGGCCCAGCAAATGCATGCTGGGTTTCAAGCTTTGAGAGATGCCGGACATGAGCCACTTCCACAACAATGAGCCTTCGCAGCCAAGTGTGCGCAAGGGGTCCCGCGCACGGCGCAACGGGGCTTCTAATTTTGCGCTACTTACACCTATTGCGGGGCTACGCAATAGACATCGCCGCGCCATCGTCGTCCCATGTCTGCTGGTTGTCCTCAAGCAAAGCTCAAAGCCTATTTCCTGAGAGTTTTTTGTAGGCTTGTCCATTGATTGGGACGAACGTTGAAGGCCTGTGCCCAAAACCATTCAACCCCTGGTTTTGCGGCGTCCGCACGAGGCAAAGATGGTGCATGCTTGTGACAGTTGACTGATTTGAAAGAAGCCTGGAGTATAAGTGCATAGCATGGTGTTTTCCCAGGAGGCATCACGCAAACTGCCGCATTAACGTCATGCTCCAGCATTGTATGCGTGGGCACATTCGGGACATGTGTCAGTTTTTGTGCACTGATGTGCAAGAGTGGATCCCTTTGTAGCGAGTGTCAGCGTTTACTCCTACCACTGCATGTGGCACTAGCAACGCGATAGTACCAGTCGTACTCGGCACCATCCGGCTAGCAGCAAATGTGATTGCAGCTGAGGATGGCCGACGAGTGAAGGTTTCGTGGCTGCATGTGGGGCATTGAGGGTTCACGGGGTTGCGCCGGGGTTGAAGTGTTGAACATGCCAACATCACAAGAGTCTGTTGCAATTCAAGCCTTGAACTTAGTCGTCGGGCAAGCTCGTTTTAAGAACATCAGTCTGCCGAAGGAACCCCCCACCAACCACCCACCAACCCCCCCACCAACACCAACCCCCCACCAACCCAACCCCTCAGGTGGCCCCCCAGCCCTCCTCAACCAGCCCATGGTCTTGGAGTTCGCGCAGCACGGCTTCGCGTACCAACCACCAATCCCCGCACCAACCCCGCCGCCAACCCCCCCTCCCCCAACCCTTTCCTCGCCTTGTAACCGGGCAAGCTCACTTTTCTCTTCATGCCTTCGAGAATAAGATCTGAAGCACATGTCCTGATGCATTCTTCCAAGCCCGTCACACACGCATTGTGCGCCCCCCCATCCCCCCGCAAAGTCGGGCAAGCTGGCGTTTTAGAGCACCACGCAGTCGAGAAGAACTGCTGCAAATTCTTTATGGATCGCGCGAAACCCGCCATGCAGGCGTAGTGTTTGCAAATGGGGGGTGTTGGCCCGCCCCCCCTCCCACCACCCAACCAAGCGTTTTTGTATGATCATGCCGTCAAGAGGAGTTGCTGCAAATACCATAATATGTATCCCTCCAAGCCCTTGATACGAGCATTGTGTTTGCTCATGACATGAGGGGGGCTTGAGTGCATCTCTCGCGACAAGAAAGTGAATTTTTGTTGATCCGTTTTGGCTCAAATAGTAATAGGAAATATGTGTTGATCCTAGAATGTCTTTTTGATCCCTTACCCCGAAACATCGAGACATTGATGAGGCTACGTATGCCAGCACGTGTCGGTACCTGTTTCGCATGCCTTTGCCCAAGAAAACCCATAGCAAGGATTTGTTTTCCTGTGTGTTGCCGACCCTATGGCGGCGAAGCCCCATTGGGTTTGTTTTTCTGGCAAGAGGCCACAGCGAAAAGTTCCACGCTATGTCGCTGCCGTGGCTGCCTTTATAGGTCAAGAAGACGCCCGCAAGGTCCGCTGGCGCGTGGCGAGGGGCGATCGGAACTTGGCTTGACGTGCTTTGTTTCTTGGTTTGGCGACCAAGCCACACAAATCATGCTCTGAGCCAGTAGCTGAGGCAAGGCCTACACCACAACGGCGGCGCGTTGAACATCAAGCAGTGTGGCGCCACGGCCCAGGCTGGAGAATGCAAGCCTGCAGCGCACTAGTAGCTCCGCTATGCTCCGCTTAAGCTTGCACTTGGGGCTTACGCAGCTGGGTTCATAGGAGAATTGCCGCTGTGGGCGACAATTCCTGACCCCAGACACGTGCTTAGAGCTCCAACTTGGATTACCATGCAGTGTTCACATAGTCGTTGTTGCGTCGAGGATTTTAATTGATTTTAAGTAATTACAAAATTTTAAGTTTTTTTTTAATTTTCATGAATTTTAATTCGTTTTAATTTTTTAAAAAATAATTTTTGACTAATTCTGATTAAGTTTAGTTTATTATTGAAATAAAAGCAAATAAATTTTTGTTTGACTATTTTTGTTTTTTAAATGAATTTTATTCAATTTTAATTGGTTTTAGTTCATGTTAATTCATTTTAAATATTTTTGAACTGATTTTAAGAAATATATTCTGCTAATTGTAATTGCTTTTTAATGAATTTTAATGATTCTTTCATGGTTTTTAATTCATTAAAAATAATTAGAATTAGTAAGTAATTTTAATCAAAACTTAATGAGTTTTTCTTAATTTAATTCATTTTAATTCGGTTTAATTAATGTTATTTAGTTTTAACTAATTTAGTTAATTGTATTTCTTTAAATTTAAGTAAAATTTTCATTTATTTTGATTAAGTTTAATCAGTTTTAGTTATTTAGTTTTGCTACTTTTTTAGTTAATCTTAATAACTTTTTAATTTTCGTTTAATCTATTTCAATTAATTTTAATTAATGTTGATTGATTTGATTAATTTTTGATTGCTTTTAAATTTTACCATCTTTTTATTTATAACCATTTTTTCTAATTTTAATTGTTTTTTTATTTTTAAGTATTTTTCATTAATCTTTAATTAATTTAATGAATTTTAATTAGTTCATGAATTGTATTAGTTTTTAATTAATTTTTAATTAGTTTTTAAATTTTTAAGTAATTTTCATTAACTTTTAATTGGTTTTATCTAATTTTTTCAGTAATTTTAATTAATTACCTTTAACTAATTTCAATTGTTTTTTTAAATTTGAATTAATACTAATTAATTTTCAAACTCATAGTTAAACTATTTTTTGTTTGTTTTCCAGCTGATATTACTTAGTTCTAATTCATGTTAATTGATTTGAACTATTTTTAATCAGTGCTCTTTAAAACTTGGTTCCCTTAATTTTAATTAGTTTCAAATAATTTCGTTAATCCAATAACTTGTTCGAATATTTTTAGTTAATGTTATGTATTGTTATTTAATTAACATTTTAATAAGTTCTAATTAATTTAAATCATTTTAGAATAATTCTAAATGCTGTTTGTGTTCAAGCAAAAGATGTTTCTTTCACCAAACAGAGACAGACAGACGTAAGTATGATAGCGTGTAGGTGTGTATGTATGTATGTATGTATGTATGTATGTATGTATGTATGTATGTATGTATGTATGTGTATGTACGTATGTGTGTGTTTTGTGGATTTATATGTGTATATATATACACATAAGGAAAGGCATAGGCCACTTTTGTCCAGGGTCACCTTTGCCACCGCCCCAAAAAAGCCCGTCAGCCCGAAACTTCAAACATCTGTGCATGGCGTGATTTTGGGATGGGGGGTAGTTTAGGGGCTGAAGTTTACCAGCCGACAGTCTAAGTGCCCAAAGCTTCACAGGGGGGGGGGGGGGGGGGGGGGGGGGGGGAAAGGGAGGGAGGGCGGAGGAGGGAGAATGTTCCAGAACTCTGGACTTCAAACAGTTTTGAATTGATTTTTCATGTAGCTCTTGCACCTTCACACGCTGAAGGAGCGGAATGAGTTGGCGATGGCATGGGCAGACGGCGATTTGGCTCCTGCGCCCGGGCAGCAAGTAAGTAGGGCTTAGGGTTTGGGATTTATGGGGGAAGGGCTTGTAGTTCGTGGTTTGAGTTAGTGTCTACTTCTATAAACAAGAAACAGGACCCCTCAAGCTTCAACCAAAACGAACGTTAGCCCTACACCGCCGAAGCCCTATGCCCTAACTCCCCCCATTCCCAAACCCCCTGCTACATCCTAGAAGCTCCTGTGGCGCAACTGCCCAATTTGGCACCATGAGTTTTTGGGGGTCTGTGATGCCCAATGGGATGGTGTGGGTGGTGGTGCTACCATCCCAGAACCCAGCTGTCCTGAACTCCCCCCTGTCTGTGCGATCTTCTGAACCCTAAGGCCAAAGCCTCAAGCCTAAGCCCAAAAGTGACAGAACATGCTGGGGTGGACGTTAGTAGTACAAAAGCCCCAAAACCTAAACCCTAAACCCTAAACCCTAAACCCTAAACCCTAAACCCTAAACCCTAAACCCTAAACCCTAAACCCTAAACCCTGGATCCCAAACCCGTCCAGGCTCCAGGTCCACCCTGTCGCCTTCGCAAAGCGGCTCCTCGAGTCGGACAAGGCGGCAGAGTTCCGCTTTCGTTTTGACGGTTAGGTTTTAGGGCTTTAGGGACTAGGGTTTAGGGGGTTTAGGGTTTAGGGGGTTTAGGGGGTTTAGGGTTTAGGGTTTAGGGTTTAGGGTTTAGGGTTTAGGGTTTAGGGTTTAGGGTTTAGGGTTTACCCTAATATGTAGGATACCCCAAAAGGGACCACAATTTAGAGAACTGACCAGCTGGAACCCCTGAGCAACATGCAAACTCAGTAGAATATTTCTGCAGGAGTGCAGATTTTTCAGGGTTCTCTGCAGTTCAGGGCTCGGTCTGGGGGTTAGCATGTAAGCCCATGTGACCTCAACAGGTCCAGGCACTGCACGCCTAAACTCTAAACTCACTACAGGTGAAAGAGTGCTTTGGGCCGGTCAGGGTTTGAGTCTTGGGTCTTTAGGCATTTTCGGCGCTTGCCTTTTGGGGGTTTCGGGGTTTCACGGGTTTAGGGGTTTAGGGTTGAGAGTTTAGTGTTTAGGTGTGTAGGGTTCTGCTTGTGGCTTCTAGGGGGTCGAGAAGGTTGGCCGACCCAGCTTTGGTCAGAGTAGGGTTTGTTTAGGGTAAGCCCCAGCGTTTAACCCTAAACCCTAAACCCTAAACCCTAATCCCTAAACCCTAAAACCTGAACTCTAAACTTTGCCGCCCCTAAAAGTGGGTACCTTTCATTACTGCCATGGGGGTCCAGGTCGACCCACCCTACATCCTGAAACCCCTTAACAATCTCAATGCCCCCACAGCATAAACCGCCTAAACTCTGAAACCCCTAGAGACCACAAAATCCCAAAGCCCTCCCCTAAGCCCTAAACCTTCAACCCGAAAACCTAAACCCTGAAACCTTAAACCCTGAACCCTAAAACCCTAAAACCCTAAAACCCTAAAGCCCTAAAACCCTAAAACCCTGAAACCTCAAACCCTCGATCTTTAAACCGGAAACCCAGAACTTTCGCTGGGAGCCATGACGCCAGGACCTCGGTCACCCCCTTGTGGTGTTCCAGCTCAATGCTCTGCAGGCCGAAGCCCCGAAGCTCGAAAGAAATCTTTCCCTAAACCCTAAACCCTAAACCCGAAACCCGAAACCCGAAACCCTAAACCCTAAACCCTAGGCCCTAAACCCTAAACCCGAAACCCTAAACCCTCAAGACAAAATAAAAGAAATTGTATGTGGTATCATTTTGAACTTTCCCAGTTATTTGTCTAAACAGCTGACAAGCAGAGCTTAAGTACATTCATCCACAGCGCCTGGGAGGCCAAACGCCCAACCTACTTAAACCTCTGCACCCGAAGAGTTCCAGGAGGCCAGCCAGGGCCAAAAGGCCCCCCCCCCCCCCAAAAAAAAAAGGTCAAAAACAGAAACTTTCGCTCAAAACATTCGCTCAAAACATTCGCTCAAAACTTTCGCTCAAGACGTTATTGGGACCCAAACCCTATACAATTTCTACACACTCAAGGTTTTGGGGTGTTAGGGGGTTAGTTTGGGCTTAGGGGTGTTCAGAGTTTAGGGCTTAGAATTGGGGTGCTGGGCTTCGGGTCGAAATTTAGGGTTCGGGTTCAAGGTTTAGGGTAGCCCTTCTCCCTCATCATGGAGTTTCCACAAGTTAGCGTACACCTCCACCCCAAATGGGGTAGCATCTCGCTAGAAGGACCCAGAAGGGTCCTAAACCCTCAAGGCCCAATCCGGCCTTCCTCACTTGACAGATTGAATTAATGTGTTTCGGGTTTAGGGTTTAGGGTTTAGGGTTTAGAGTTGGGAAGTCTGAGCCCCGCCACCCAAGCAAAAAACCGCGAAAAGAAGTGCCTGGCAACATCTCCAAGATGTGCACTCCCCCCCCCCCCCTTTCCCCGCAAAAGAAGGAGGTTTAGGGTTTAGGTTTTAGGGTTTAGGGTTTAGGGTTAGGGTAGGGTTTAGGTTTAGGGTTTAGGGTTTAGGGTTTAGGGTTTAGGGTTTAGGGTTCCGGGTTCAGGGTTCAGGGTTCAGGGTTGAGGGTTTAGGGTTTAGGTTTTAGGGTTTAGGGTTTAGGGTGTAGGGTGTAGGGTGTAGGGTTTAGGGTTTAGGGTTTATAGAAATTGTATAGGGTTTGTGTCCGGAGTTTTGGGTGGGTTTTGTGCGGGTTTTGTGCGAGTTTTGGGCGGGTTTGTGCGGGTTTTGTGCGGGTTTTGGGTGGGTTTTGGGCGAAAGTTTTGAGCGAGTTTTTTTTTGCTTTCCGAAAGTTTTTTTCGCTTTTGGACTGGGGCTGGGGCTGGAGCTGGAGCTGGGGGGCTCAGGCTGGGGCTAGGCTGGGGATGGGGCCGGGGCTGGGGCTAGGGGCTGGGCGGCTGTTTGGGGCTGGGGCTGGGGGGCCAGGCGGCTGCTGGCGTGCTTTGGATTGGGATATTCAAAATGATACAACCACTTTGGATGAATTTGCTTAAGCTCTGCTTGTCAGCTGTTTAGACCAATAACTCGGAACCCAGAGAGAGGTTTAAGTGAATTGAACATTTGGCCTTCCGAAGGCGCTTTGAATTCATTTAGACAGACAAATAATGTGGGATATTCACGATGATACCACATACAATTTCTATTTATCCTGGTCTTGAGGGTTTAGGGTTTAGGGTTTAGGGACTTTCATGCATGTGCGGTTTACGGTTAAGAGAGAAGTGACCATGCCGCTTTGAAGTTAACAAGACGCCCCACACTGCAGCAGGACTCCTTGGCCATGAACACGCAAACGCGCAGCTGGGACTAACTTCTTGTGCCAATGGTTGAGGTCTAAGCAAGCCCTTATGAGCTTTGTTGCTCTCCTTGCATTTCGTAGGAATCTAGAAGATCAGCCTTCTAACGCCCTGGTAGGTAGAGAAGTAGGCAAGAGAGTGGCATCTTCGGTGCAACTCTGCGGTGGTGGAGGACTGAGGACGGGAGCTCAGAGTCCTAAGCGAAATTGTTGGGGGAGGGCTTTCCCGCCACCTTATTTGGTGGGAAATATTTTTGCAGCTGCTACCCAGAAAGGGCGTTCTTGGACGATAATGTGCTTGCAGCTCAAGTCCCCAAACCCGGGAGTTTACGAAAAATAAGGGACCCTGAAGCCTGAATATAGGCCCCCAAATAGTAATATCCCCTTCCATTAAGGACCCCAATAGGTACTCCTAATCACGGAAACCTCTAGTGTATGGGTTGCCCAAACTTGAAACCCTAAACCCTGACATTTCCCAGGATACAAAGTTGAACCCAGCCTGAAGCCAAGGCAACATGGTGGTGAATGAACAGGCCTGCAGCCTTATTGGGATTCCGAACGGTGCAGCAAGTATAGCAGCCCCAAACGTTGAAAACTCCGTTGCGAGCTGCTTGCGAAGTCTTTTGCCGCTGCAAGCAACAAACCCCTAAAACCCTGAGCCCGAAGGCTTCAAAACCCTCCAACCCCTAAGTTTAGAGTTTAGGCCCTCAAGGCCAGGGAAGAAAAACCCTAAGCCCAAAAATTCCCAAGCTAGCTCCCAAACCCTCATCCCCAAACCCTTGAGGAAGCGGTCAGCTTGGTATGTATAATGGGGGTTGAGGGTTTCCGGTTGCTTCGTTGAGAGATCGTGGCTCCGAGCTGAAGCAGTGTGCAAGAGTTGCGCATGCGGTGTCGTTTTGTGTCTTTGTGGGAAGGGTCGCGCCCCGCAAGGTTTAGAGTTTAGAGTTCATGAGAGTTCAGTGGCGCGCTCGCGCCCTTGCAGACGGTTCGCCGCTGCTTCTCGGCATCCGTGTCTCGTGGATGACATCAGGGGAGAAGAGCTGCCATGAGTGCCCTAAGAGAATCGGCAACGTGATTAACACTGAAGTCTGCTTTAGAGTGGCTTTCTTGTCTACAGCTCTCGCGCAACGGAAGCATTCTGGATGATTGGGCTACGTCGGATGCTCTGCCGTTGCTCAGCTGGTTTTGCAGACCTTGGCCATGGATGATCAACGTTCAGGCATTGAGCAGCTCGCTTATGAGTGTTTTCGCGGAGTGCTTGAGGCTGTGCGCTGTTTGCTGCAAGCAGGCGTCCGCACGGACCAGTGCCCAAAACGCGGCTGGCCGAGACTTTCCGATCAGATACCTCTCCGCATCACAGCTTCGTGTAGCCATCGTGAAGTTGTGCAGTTGCTGTCAGATGCTGGCGCTGACAAGGAGCAGACGGCGAGCAAAGGCGAGACAGCTCTCATTCATGCAACGTCAATCGTCCATGTGGAACTTGTGCGGCTGCTGTTCGTTCCATCACGACTTGCAACGGGACATCCTGGACCTTGGGCTTTGGATTTAATCCGAGCTTCTGATTAATTGGTGGGCCCCCCCCCCCCCCCCCCTCCACAATAAGGAATGCAGGGTTCCGCAATAGTTGGACCGTGGCCCTGTATTGATTCTCTACTAAAACAATAGGCTGCAGATCCCTGAGGTGCTGTAGCTTTGCGTCTCCGCAAGCAAAACAAGAAGCCTGCCGACAGATTTTCGAACCCCCCCAAAATAAATTCCTTTAAATGTGGGGGGTTTGTCCCATACGAAATCCACCCTAATGGAAAGTAGTCTTCCGGCGGGCTTCCGGCCAAAAAAAAATTCTTTAAATGTGGGGGTATTAATTAAACTGATGCTCGGATTATGTTCAATGGGATGACCAGGCCAAATGATTGCTCCCAAGACAGGCCATTCCGGAACCCAGAAACGCTCAACCCTAAACCCTAAACCCTAAACCCTAAACCCTAAACCCTAAACCCTAAACCCTAAACCCTAAACCCTAAACCCTAAACCCTAAACCCTAAACCCTAAACCCTAAACCCCTAAACCCATAAACCCTAAACCCTAAACCCTAAACCCTAAACCCTAAACCCTAAACCCTAAACCCTAAACCCTAAACCCTAAACCCTAAACCCTAAACCCTAAACCCTAAACCCTAAACCCTAAACCCTAAACCCTTCCTCCAATGCCCACCGGGTTGAGGCCATCAACGAGCTTCTCCCGGCAGGGAAGACTTGGAGCATGCAAACTGGCGGCCCTGTGAACTATTCGGGCTTGTGGGCTGTGGGCTTAGGTCTTAGGGTTCAGGGTATGTAGGGTATTTCGGGCGTTGTGGGTTCAGGGTATGTAGGGTATTTAGGGTGTTCAGGGTTTCGGGTATTTAGGGTTTAGGGTTGGGGCTTGGTAGAGTTTAGGGTTGAAACTTTAGGGCCTTGGGGTCTGGAGGGTTTGGGTCCCCAAGCTCAACTCCCTGGTGCCAGCTCTCCGAGGATCCATGAAGCGCTCTCAGATGCTCAGGGCCGCGGCAGCGGCATAGGCGCTGGGGGGGGGGTTTAGGGTGTGATGCAGGGGTCGGAATAGTTACTCATCGTCTTCTCTTAAGGGTCCCTTTAGAAGTATTGTCTAATCACCCCCAAAACCACATTCTAATTATCAAGGCCCCTATATTACGGTTGAGGGCTTAGGGCTCGAGGAGACCGAATCCCCAAAACCCAAGGGCTCTGGGAAATACCAGGGTCTCCAGAGGGATCCCCAAGACAGGGCTCAGGGTTTAGGGTTGAGCAACCTCGCTGGACTTCGCAACTTGCGGAGTGCTTCTTGGATACCGCCTGGGCCAGGCAAGTTCCACCGGACCGACATCAACAGCTTCACCAAGGTGTACCTCATGCCTGCTTCAGAAGCCTTAGACCCGAACACCCTACGACCTCAGCGAAAGGTTACGGTGCTGGTCCACTTTCGCAATTTGTGAGCTCCGGGGGCAAACGTGAATCTCAGACCCTAATCTGCGGGTTGCACAGTACCCGTCTGGATTTCCCTTTAGAATATGGGGCTTCAAAGTTAGGGTTCCCCAAACGACAGAGCCATCTTCACCTATTGTGTATGGGTTACACCCATGGAGTCGATAGCTGAGGCCGTAATTAAGGTCTCGCAGTGCGCAGACAGTCGACATGAGCAAACCAGGACACATCAGTCACCAATGTGTGAATGTCACAACGCCCGCGTGCGCACAGTCACTGTCTCAACATGGCTATGGAGCTAAGCCTGCGCAACCTCAGGCCCTAAATGCACTCTCACAACGGCGCCCCGACCCCCTGTTCGAAAAGTAGCCTCCCCAAAGCCCTCAAGCCCGTAAACCTAAATAAACCCTAATCGAAACCCTACTGTCTCAAGCCACCACAAACCCTAAACCCCAACCCTCAAAAGAGACCCAGAGAACCTAGGAACTGCCAAGTGGTGCGCTACTCCTTCGACCCGAGCATGTGCCCGGGCGTTCTAAAATACAACCAGGATTCGGGTTCAGATTTAGTGCTCAGGGCAAAAAAGGGTTGCGCAGCAGGACAGATGCTGGTTCCATGGTTGGAGCTTGGTTTACGTTTGTAGGGCTTCGTCGGCTTCGAGCACTTACAGGGCCTGCCGGATGCATCTTCTAGGATGTCGTCTTTTTCGGGTCGAGGGCGGAGGGTTTAGGATCCAGAGAGTTTGTGCCCCCGATGTGGCTAGATCCCCTCAGCTCAAGGGATGAGTACTGAAAGCTTCTGGGGCATGGTTCAGGATTTGGGGTTTTGGGGTTTTAGGGTTTTAGGGTTTTAGGGCTTTTGGGTTTTGGGGTTTTAGGCTTTTAGGGTTTTAGGCTTTTAGGCTTTTAGGCTTTTAGGATTTAGGGTTTTGGGTTTTGGGTGTAGTAGGGTGAGGGGTTGGTCGGTCTTCCGGACTCTTTTCAGGGGTTCGATTGCATCGGATTGACGAAGCTACTGGACCAGCTGCACGAGGATTACAGGATGTAGTGGTCTATCCCCTCATCACCCATGTGTATGTCGTTATGTGTATGTATGTATATGTATATACACATATATGTATATATATATATATGTATATATATATATGAACACATACGCATATACACATTCTTGAGTATATACATACATACAGCATATACGCATATAATATAAGTAATATAAGTGTTTGAGTGTTTTTACATCTGCATGTGTTTTTTCTTCAGAGGCACGAGTGATGAGTCCGGAGCCGTAGATTGACCCTGCTCGTTCTCGGGAACACATACGTTGTGTGCATGCATACGAATGTCCAGAGAGATGAGAGTTAACTGCAGAGCAAAATCAGTGTGACTTAAGTTCATCCTCCCACATTGTTCTTGCAAGGGTGTGCCAAGACACTTGCCCGCTTCTTCTATTGGTAACATAGCCAAGGTTCTTGGGGCTCTCGGAATGCGTGCCTCGTCTGAAAGCGTCCGTGAAAGATGGGAGAGGCCCGCTACTTCTCCTCAAGGCTTCGCGTAAGCTTCCATAAGGCTCACCTTCGATCCTGGACCCTGAGCACATTCCCCTACACCGTAAACCCTGAACAGTGAACCCTTGGTACCTCTGTGTAGGACTTAGTCCTACCAATCCATCCCTTTGACATGGCAGTCAGAGGCTTCAGTGTTTAGGGGTTTGTGATGCAGGCCCTGACCAAACAACATACCTTGAACCGATACCCTAACGACAAGAAACTGGGTTCCACGCCCTTAGGTCCAAGGAAGATCGGTAGGTTTTGTCGTCGTGTTTCTGAGAGATGGAACCCTACACCCAAGCCGCCGACTATTCTATACCCTTGGAGAAGAAAAACAGAAACAGCCATAAACCCCAAACAGTTCCTAACCCTAAACCCTAAACCCTAAACTGTAGGAAGCCAAGGCCATGCATGAAGGGGACAGTGCTCCGTTCAGACCTTGGTGCCCTCCGCGGGAGCCATGGCCTGCGGAGTCGTTCAAAAGGATTGGGGTTTAGGGTCTAGGGTTTCGGGTTTCGGGTTTTAGGTTTCGGCGTTCTTGGCCAGGGTTCCTAACTGAGTTTTGTGGGTTTACTGTAATATGGGCTGAGGGGGTTTAGGGGTTTCGAGGTTTAGGGGGTTTCCTTCGCGCCTTGTCATGCACAAAGGGTTCAGCTTCAGACTCAAAGACCACAAATTGCAGGCCAGCGGTGTGATGTTTAGGGATGGACCTCAACCCCAAAGCCCCAGCCCTGAACCACTAAACCCTAACCCTAAACCCTAAACCCTAAACACTGATAGGACCTGAGTCGCTTGAGGTTCGGAGTGTGGAAGGTTGGGCCATCGATCGGGGTTATGCTTTTAGGGTTTAGGGTTTAGTTTTTTTTTTTTTTTTTTTTTTTTTTTTTTTTTTTTTTTTTTTTTTTTTTTTTTTTTTTTTTTTTTTTTTTTTTTTTTTTTTTTTTTGTTTAGGGTTTAACGATGTAGGCAGGATGTGGAGTTGAAGGTGTTGCAGGGGCTAGGATTTGTTTCAGGGCATTTGTGTTGCTTCAGGTTTCCGAGTTGTTGCTTACAGCTTTTTGGTGTGAGTTTTGCATAGGTTTCGGGTTTAGGGGTTGGATTGCAGTTGAGGGTTTGGGCTCAGGGTTTAGGGTTACACGGTGTGGGCTATCAAAGATAGTACTGGACCATGCTCAGCCCGAAACTCGCGATGCAGCCCGAACGATACACCCGAACCCCTGAAAGCTCGAACCTCAAAGCACCAGCCAAAACTTAGACCTCAAAACTTCAAGCTACCTGACTCCTCACTTAGCCCTAGCTTCTCCAATAAGCCCTAAGCCCACAAAAGCCACTGAACCACAAAGTGCCACTTTAAACCTGCCTCCAGCCTTTCAGACAATGCCCAAAACCAGGTTTAGGGTTTAGGGTTTAGCAATACTGAAATTCTTCTCAGCAAAGCCGCCGCCAGCCTCCCAGGACAGCTATCTGAACTGCCTGCGCAACGGGACCCTCCCTTGCGTCTACGGAGGGGATCAGGCCGCGTCCTTTAGTGTTTTGATGGATTTGCAGGGTTTATAGGGCCCTGGCCTGAAACCCGAAACCAAAGAGTAGGATTCCATCCCACTGCAAAAGCGCACTATGAGCCCTATAAACCCTTGCACCGTATAAACCTTGCCCCACAATGTGCCCGACCCACAACCCTTTTAGCCACTGTGCCTTAAGTTTCACAGGATTCTGGTCTTTGTGGGTCTCCGTGGCGCCCGGTTGCACCCCTGCAGCCGAAGCCCGCCCAAAGCCCGCAAAAACCCTCAAACCCTAAGGCTTTCAAGCGACAAGCTTTTGCGAGTTGAAGTTTCCGGCTCCGCGGTTGAGGATGTTTTCTTCGGGACTTCGGGGGCTCTGGTTTCCTGGCATCTCTTCATCCCATACTCCCTAACCCCTTCTTGAACCCCATCATCCCTATAATCCCTACCCTACACCCTGAGATTCCTCATCCTGCATCCCAAGTCCCGAATATCCCGAGTCCTGAACAACCAAAAAAAACATATGGTCACTTCTCGAGATGATGGTCCCTTTTGGGGTACCCTGACTTTTCTGGCCTAATCACAGTAACCCCGAAAAGGGACCATAGCGCAGAGAAGCGACCATGTTGAACCCTAAACCCGAAACCCTAAACTCCATGCTCCTTGACCACAAGAACCCCTTTAAGGATAGAGGTGTCTCCTTCCATATGGGTGGTTGTCAAAATTATGGTCCCTTTTGGGGTGCCCTAAATATTAGGTGCCGTATTATAATAGGGACCCAAAAAGGGACCCTAATTTTGACAGCCACCCATATATGCGAAGACCACCAGTCCAGGGCGGCCCTGCAGTGGCTGTCTGGGAGCTGGACGAGGATACATCCCTCTTCCCTAGGGTGCCTCAGACCTGGTGCAGTCGAGCGTCGAGCGTAGCCCTAAGCCCTAAACCCTAAACCCTAGACCCTGAACCTCAAGCATACAATTTTTCAGGTTGCTGTATGTGTAGTGATGCGGCTACAACTAAGTTAACAAGTTTGAAACCTCCACAAGACCCAGGTCCTGCCTGCAGTCGCACGTCAATCCCATGAACCCTAAACTCATGTCGGGTAGTTCTCTAATTAGGGTCCCTTTTGGGTCCTATACATAGTACGGCAATCCCCCCCCCCAAAAAAAAAGGAAAAAGAAGAACAAATAACAGGATAAAGTCCCTAAACCCTAAACCCTAAACCCTAAACCCTAAACCCTAAACCCTAAACCCTAAGTAGAGAACCACCCATGTGCTCTACAAGTTGCCCGCATGTTGCTTTTGACCAGTTGGCGGGTGTGGTCTCTTCGTAGGGTTTAGGCTTTAGGGTTATGGGCTTAGGGTTCGATGACTTTAGCAAGGATGTTCGAAAGAAGTTCAGGCAAAAAAGCACCGGATAACATCTGGACCGAGTTCAGGGTTTAGGATTCAGGCTTTGCTGGACGGTTGGGGGTGTAGGGTTTAGGGTTGATAGATCTTTGTGGTACTTTACTATAACTTTAGATCTTTAGCCTTTTTGGGTTTATTGGGTTTCTTAAAAGGCAGCTAAAAATTCAATTTATAGCTACCCTCCTAAGTGCAGCCAAGTGATGTTGGGTTGACGCTTGAGAGCTTCGTGTGCCGGAGCAAGTCTTCCTCGCACAAAGTCGATACCAGCAAGCCAAGGACGCAAGCATCCGAGTCCCGACGCTGCTGTGGATGCGGGACGACAGCAAGGAAAATGAAGCAAATCTCACTGAGTTCGAGGCAGAAAGGGGGTCATCGGAGGGTGGGTGCATCGTTTCTCGGTACGATGTAGACTGTCTCTCAATTTCAGGTTGAGGGTTCCATGGTGTTTAGGGTTGAGGATCGCTTTCGGCTTCGTGGGGCTCAGCTTGCTGCATCGTACTTAAGAGTCCCTGCGTGGCGAAGATGCGCAGTAGGATGGTGTGGCTGGACTTCGTGTGCTTAAGGGCTTGAAGGCTACGGAGCTGCATGTGAAAACGTTGCATGAGTACCGTTTGCTTCCCTAAAAGGGTAATCAGGGGACTATATATATATATATACATATACTTTTTTTCTATGATTCAGTTGTTTGGGGTTCTTAAGCAAATAGTAGATTAAGCAAGCGCTCTCCTGGAGGATGCGTAAGTTCCGCTTGGCCAAGTTCCCAGGGAAGTTTGAGCAAGGGTACTTTCGAGCTTCTATATCGGTTTCTTAAGCCGCGCGCTCATACCCCTGTAGGTCAAATCCACACACGGAGGGAAACAGACAATTTCTTAGCCCATTCCTTTGTTTTGAGCTTTCAGTATTCAGGGACCGAAGACTCCCAAAATAGGGGTATGGGGTTTAGGTTTAGAGTTTCCTCAGGGTTTAATTAGGGTTTAGGGTTTGGACACTGCGCACGCGAACTCTTCAATAACTGGCCACCAACCAGGGTACCCTAAGTGTATCGGCTACTTGTTAGGAACCCTGAACCCCAACGTTTCCTTAACCCTACGTATGATGACCCACAAAACGCGCTTTAGGGTCAGACCTTTGCAGCATCAACTGGTCTGACTCTTGTCCACCGCATAGTGTATAGTCTGTATAGTTTTCGGCTTTAGTTCTACAGGTTTGGGTAGAAACATGCATCCTCACTGCAGCTTCCCTTTAATCTTCCCTCCAATAAGGGAGATTTAAACCCCACCACCCTTCCCCCGAAAAAAAGGCATCTGCTTCCTGGGGCCTTCCGACTTTTTCTGTTGAATCTTGGGGGTCCGGCTGGGGCCCTCGACGTGCGGAGCCCAGACTATGTATCTAGGGTCGTGGGGTTTGGGGCAACCCCTCAACTGGAACGCAAACCGAAAAAAGAAGCGAAACCTAAACTTACAACTCTACCCCAACCCCTCAACGCCTAAGCCCCCGAACCTTAAGACGTAAACCAAAGCCCTCGTCCAGGGCTGCAAGGGCAAGCTGGTGAAGACGCTCTGGGGACGGCTGTGACTCGACTCCACTGGCTGACGTGTACTGCTCATATGGGCTCCCAAGCCCCCAAACCCTAAACCCTAAACCCTAAACCCTAAATCCTAAACCCTAAACCCTAAACCCTAAACCCTAAGACCTAGGGCCATAAGCCTAAACGTCAAGAACCCGAAGTGAATAAACGGGGTTGTGGTTTAGGGTTTCGGGCTTCGGGCTTAGGATAGCCTAAAGGCCCTAAACCTACACCCTAGAGATCAAAGTCCTGCACCCCAAGCCCGAGCAAAACCGAAGCCCACAAACCCTGTAGCTGACTGATACGGTTGGGCTTCGGGCTTCGGGCTTCGGGCTTCGAGCTTCGGGTTTTTTGCTGTTATGGGTTTAAGGGATGCGGGGATTGGCGGCTCTACCTGGCCAACCCCCACACCCGCAACCCTAAAGAACAGACCTGTTGCCGCTCCCCCCATGAAATCCTATAGACACCCCTCACCTCCACCCCGCCCCAACCTAGACTAAGTTCCAAATGCAGGCTTTTGTAAGGGTTATTTGGGCCTTGTTTTCCGAAACCCTAACAAACTTTCTGGTTCTTTGCATGGAACTGGGGCTGAGGGACCTCATACTCCCTTCTGTTTAGCCATGTTTGGCCTTTAACGACTACATCATGAACGGGGGCGGCTTGTAGGACCCCATGATTCCGCGCGTTCTCACAGGTACCCTTAGCCCTTTTCGGGTTTGGGGCATAGGGTTTTCGATTCCTCGACAAGTCCCATCACAAAAGTTCTGGGCCATAGAAAACCTCGTTCCCCACCTGGAACCGAGCCCCCAAACCCCTAAAGTACTATAGGAGTCGGAAGAATTACTAGTAGTAGGGTTCCCTCATGGTCCCGCCATAATAACCCCCAAAACCCTGTTCTAATTATTGGGGGCCCCTATATTATAAGCCCCTGAAGACTTTGCAAGACGCAGCAACGAATCTCACGCCTCAACGAGACCCCAAAACAGCCTTAAGTAGCTCCCAGCATCCCTTCCCAGCCAGGAGGGAAGAGCTTGCCCGCGACATTGCCAAGAAGGCCCCTGGCTTAGGGTTTCGGGTTTGGGCCTTTTTTCCTGGACCCCACAACCCGCCCTTCCCAAAACCCGCAGCACGGGGCTTTTTCTTGGAGTCAAACTCAACAGTTTGGGTGCTTGTCACAGGTACCTTCCTACTGAGAGGCAACTCCCAACTCTAAATCGTTAGCACGATTCCAGCCTCCCGAAGAAGCATGTGCAGCAGAAAGGCGGGTTTCGACACTGAGTCGTAAATAACTTGGGCTGGGTTTGTATACCACGGGATCATTGCGGGTGGCTTGCTCCTAAACCTTCTAACTTGAATCCCCTACTACACCCCGGCCCTAAACTTTAAACCCTATTTATACCCCCCCTATGAAAACCCCAGATGCCAGCCTTGCTGCCGAGGTCTACCACGAGATCCTTCGATTCCTGGCATGCGCTTGGCTCGATGGGGTGTCAGCAGCCTTTACGGTTTTTTTTTCGTGTTTGGGGGCTTTTTGTGGGGTCTGTTTATCGTTTTTTCTTCTAGGGTTTGTCGGGTGGTTTGGGAGTTTTCAGGATGTAGAGCTCCGGTCGGCCAGTCTTTTCTGCTTGCTGTGAAAAAGTCACACTGCGAGATTCGAAACCTTAAGGTGTGGAACCCTAAACCCTAAACCCTAAACCCTAAACCCTAAACCCTAAACCCTAAACCCTAAACCCTAAACCCTAAACCCTAAACCCTAAACCCTAAACCCTAAACCCTAAACCCTGACCCCTAACCCCCAAACCCCTAAACCCCTAAAACCCTCAAAACCCGTGGGGTTCGGGGGTTGAGTGCAGGGCTTAACGTGTTCAAAGTGCTCCTATCGCGCCCTTAAGGAGTCCTCAAACCCAAAGTCCAAGGGGTCGACCTTCGCTTGTCCTGGTCCTATCGCGCCCCGTACTTCCTGCAGCTCGGACACGGCAGACCCTCGTAGGTTCACTTCAGAGGGCTTGAGGCCTGTGCACCCCTAGGTTTCTTGTTTTGGGGTTGGGCTATGAACAACTGGAAGTTGGGGGTATCCTCAAGAAGCAGTTGCGCTGAAGGACTTGTAGCAGAAGATTCGGTTTGCTTCTCATGGTAACTTCAGCTAAGTTCCCTGAAGAACCACTCAGAAGCAACAGCCCGATGAACTTATAACAATGGTCCCTTTGGTCCTTCTGATGCAACTATACCTCCCCAAACTCCCAAACCTACAATGAACAAGCTTAAACCTTCTCACACTCCCCATGTTTATATACACCGCTCTTGGCGTCCTGCCCTCAACCCTAAACCCTAACCCTTCTGCGGTTTAGGGTTTAGGGGGTGGGGCCCTCAAACCTACACCCTAACCTCTCGAAGGGGCGGGCGGGGCGTGTATCGACTCTCTTGACTAATTCCCAAACCCCGTATGAGCAAGTAACCCCTTTTTTTCAGAGAATCCTTCATAGAAACTCTGCCTTGATCCGGGATGCTGTTAAGGATTTTGAATTTGGTTTTGGGTTGGGATGTTCCCCTTTATCCTAACAGTCGTTAATAGGGTCTACAATAGGGGGGTACTAGAATCCCTATTAGGGACTGTTAGTTTAAGGGGGAACATCCCAAGCTTAGGGTTTAGGGCGGGGAGGGTGCCAGCGTTTACCATAGTAAGGGGGTTAGGGGCTTAGGGTTTAGGGGTTTGGTTTAGGGTTTAGGGTTTAGGGTTTAGGGTTTAGGGTTTCGGGTTTAGGGTTTAGGGTTTAGGGTTTAGGGTTGAGGGTTTAGGGTTTAGGGTTTAGGGTTTAGGGTTTAGGGTTTAGGGTGCACCTCAACATCTACTATGCAACCTTATCAGGACCCTGCTCACCAACGACCAGACGGCGGAAGCTTGTCGACTTGGAGAGTGCGTTGGTTTAGGGTTTAGGGTTTTGGGTTTAGGGTTTAGGGTTTAGGGGTTAGGGTTTAGGGTTTAGGGTGTCTCAATGAGTGGGCGCGCTGGTGCTGAAAGCACCCCGGCGCGCGCCCCGACTTGCATAAGCCCACCCCCGCTGGCGCTCCACCCTCGCCTTAACCTTTACGGGTTTAGGGTTCTTTTTGAACTCTGATCGTGCTTTTGTTATTTTTCTCTTGTCCATTGGCTGGGTTAAAAGCTCGGCATCGATGCAGATCAACTACCCTGAAGTTGCAGCCCTTAGGCATTGCAAGGGAGATATCTATCCATCGAGGGCTGCTGGAGGTTTGGGCTTGGGGCTGGCTGCCGCCTTCGCCCTCGGCGATGCTGCGTGCTGGGCGGGGGTTTGGAAAACTTGCTTGGAAGGGCGTGAAATCAAAGGTTTGGGCTTTCGCCATTTCTAATGTTGGGCTTAGATGTCCATCATTCGAGGGCTTCTGGGAGGGCCAAAAAGTCAAAGGTTTGGGATTGGGTTGGCTGCCGCCTTCGTCCTTGGTGATGCTGCGTCTTGCTTGACCCCCTCATTTGGGGTGTTTTTGGCTGGAATCAGTGAAGGCTCGGTTTTGAGCAAAAATGCAGAAAACGAGAGCCCACCCAGAACCGTCGCTTGAGTACTAAAAAAATCGCATTTTTAACTGGGGCCCGGGCCGATGCTGGGGTCCCCCTCATTGGGGTGTTTTTGGGGGCAAACTTTCCCCTTCAAGGGGGGTCGGAGTTTTGAGCAAGCGGGGTCTCCCAAACTAAATTGCTTCCAAAATAAGAAAAGGTCGCCGGGGTCCGGTGACCCTTTGAAGGTCCCTTAGAAAAGCTTTTGAGCGGGGCTCCCAAACCGGGGCTTCCAAACAGGGGCCTCCCAAGGCAAGGGGCCCTGTCAGGCAGGGGTCTTAGGCAGGGGCCCCCAAGGCGGCCCCCAGACAGGCTCCCAGGCAGGGCTCAGGGGCCTCCCAGGCAGGGGCCCTCCAGGCAGGGCTCCCTTCGGGCCTCCCAGGGGCCTCCCAGGGTCCCAGGCCGGGGGCCTCCTCTGGCTGGGCTGCCTGCCTGGACAGGCTCTGGGTTCCTCTGGTCCACGAAAAACGACCACGGCTGGAGGTGGGGCTCCTCTCTGACGGGTTTCTCGCCAGCGACCTGCCGGGTCCACCGCGCAGCCCGCAGCTGCCTGCGGGACTGGAGCTCCGTCGCCCGCCGGAGGGCTTCTGGCTCCGGAGCTACCTTGCCCGCCGGCTTCGGTGCGTTCGCCCTGCTCGACGGCCCCGGGCTCACTCAGTTTAGGGGAACTCTGGCATGATTAGCTTGTCGCAATGGGAAACTTAAGTTGCTTCACTTGTCTTGCTGATTCCTCACACCACAACAGCATGTGTAGCGAAGGCATGGCATAGCCAACAGAGGTCCTAAGTAGGCCCTAACCCTACATTCAGGGTCTACGGCTTGGCGATTTGTGTTCCGCACCCTTATTCCTGAAGCCCCGAATATGGATAAGCCTGCTTAGTTGGGATGGGTACCTTGGGGTAATTTAGACGCCAATTCTTTTCTGCGTTATCATGCAATGAGACTTATCACTCTACCCTAGGTGTGTGTTGGGGCATCGTGTTGGATACGGGGCTTTTGTGGGCTTTGCGAGTACTTACAAAGCAAGAAGGAGTAGTAGCCGTCATTTATTCTCAGGCTACAGAAGGGGAAAGCCGAGCTTTCTCAAGCCCTCGAAGCTTCAAGCGCTAGGGTTTAGGGTTTAGGGTTTAGGGTTTAGGGTTTAGGCTTTAGGGTTTAGGCTTTAGGGTTTAGGGTTTAGTTTAGGGTTAGGGTTTAGGGCTTAGGGTTTGGGGCGTTTAGGGTTTAGGGTTTAGGGTTTAGGGTTTAGGGTTTAGGGTTGGGGTTTAGGGTTTAGGGGGGCAGCCCGCAGTTGCCAAGACTGGTTGTGGCGGATCGCAGAGTGGCTCCCGCTTCTGCCGCAACATGGAGGACTGCTGTAGACTAAACCCCTAAACCCCTAAACCCCTAAACCCCTAAACCCCTAAACCCCTAAACCCCTAAACCCCTACAAGCTCTGCACGGCCAAGGAGCCCTATAAAACCCTATGTATGGGTAGCTCTCTAAATTAGGGTCACCTTTTTTGGGGTCCCCCATGTAGGACGGCACCCTGTAAACAAGCATCCCCCCCCAAAAAAAAACATAGACCCTAGTTTAGAGAACTACCCCCATGAACCTCGAAACCCCTTCCTGCGCCCTTCCTCTCAAATCATACACCCTGCACCCTGTCGCACAGGAGCGCTACTACCCTGGAGCTATGAACCGGAAGCCATCGGTCCTCCTACTGGAGGCAGCAGGGCTTTCGGCCACCCCCCCCCCCCCCCCCCCAAGCCCGAAACCGGAGATTCGGTTTAGGGTTTAGGGTTTAGGGTTTAGGGTTTAGGGTTTAGGGTTTAGGGTTTAGGGTTTAGGGTTTAGGGTTTAGGGTTTAGGGATTGTGCTGTGGCCTGTGGCCCTTCCTAGTGGGCTGTTCGAGGGTTTAGGGTTGGGATGTTCCCCTTATACTAACGGCCCCCTATAAAGGGGAACATCCCAGGTTTAGGGTCTATAGGTTGAGGGCCCTTTATAGAAGAAACGTATCTTAGACCTGGAACACAAAGGGCTGTCCATGGGCCGAAGGTCGAAGCTCGACTCGAGAGAGGGTGTAGGGGCTTACGGGTTTAGGGCTTGGGGTTTAGGATTTAGGGTTCAGAGGGTTTAGAGGGTTTAGGGTTTATTGGGCTTACATAGGGTTTAGGACCCTTAAGACCTCAACCCCAAAGCCACAGGAGTTCGAAGATCCCATGGTCCAGATGTGCCTCGGCTGCTTGCAGTGCTTCCTAGACTTAAAACGAGATCTGAACCCTCAACCAGGCCCTAAGCATCCCTAAACCCTAAACATCCCTAAACCCTAAACCCTAAACCTTAAACCCTAAACCCTAAACCCTAAACCCTAAACCCTCAACCCTCAACCCTCAACCCCAAACATCCCTAAACCTCAGCCCTAAGCCCTGGGCCGCCCTCAGCTAAACCCTAAGGCTTTTCTGCTTCGAGGTTCCACCTAACCCCGAGGCTCGCCCAACACGTGCTGCAAGATGCAGCAATGCAGCTCATGGGTTGAAGGGTGTTTAGGGTTTAGGGTTTAGGGTTTAGGGTTTAGGGTTTAGGGTTTAGGGTTTAGGGTTTAGGGTTTAGGGTTTAGGGTTTAGGGTTGAGGGCGGCAGTAGCCAGCTCCAGTCCATAATCTAGTCCTCACAGGACAGGTCGATGCTTCACCGTACTCGGATCAGGCCCCTTACGACGTTGGACAACACATGTGCGGAACACTTGGGGCATAATCTGCACCGGTGCATGCGGAGCTTCTTCCGATGCAGCGCCTGTTCTTGCACGCTGTTAAGTCCACCCTAACCCTTGGGCTCAGAATACGTCCTCACCCCCTTCCTTAAACCCTGAGAGCCCCAAGCCTCAAACCTCAAGCCCCAAAATCCTGAAACCCTGCACAGGAACCCCCTAAACCCTATGTAATCCCCCTGACTCCGCAAACCGGATGCTGACAGGGCGGTGGTGCCCTCTCTGAACAATTCAGGCCTTCCTCGTGTCTTTGGGTTTAGGGTTAAGGGCTTCGGGTTGGGAGGCTCCCCCATATAGTAGCAGTCCTTATGAGGGATTCTAATAGCGGGGTACTGTAATCCCAATTAAGGACTGCTAGTTTAGGGGGAACATCGCAAGCTTCGGGCTTAGTTGCCCGGAGAACTCAGTACGTCTTGAATGGAGGATTTCTACCTTCCTTTCGCGTGCGGATCTCCATCGCGTTGACGCGCATCGATACTATAGTTGCCTTAGTGAAAAGGTGTGTTCAAAATCACCATCCTCAATCTTCGAGTTTCAGTGTATACTTCTGAATGAAATGAAGCGGCTTTATTGACAGGGATTGGGCTTGAGCGCATAAGGTTTCGGGCTTCTGATTCCGAGCTGGTTTAGGGTTTAGGCACCTTTTGTTGTTCAGGGCTTTCGGGTGTGCAGAGCTGAAGGCTTATAGGCCTTAACCTTGACTTGCAAGCGCTTCTTAGGCGGTAGGGTTTTAGGGCTTCAGGTTTCGGCTAGCCTTCGCTGCTGTTTGCTTTTTTTTTTTTTGGGGGGGGGGGGGGGTGGGGTGGGGGAGTCCGGGGGGAGGGCTACTGAGTGTCTCGCAGCTGTTGCTCTTACTCCAACATTTTGGGCTTTTGGATGATGGAACCCTGTATCATAGGTCGTCTTCTTCAAGGTGTTCAACTTTATAGGCCGTTGAAGTATGCGAGGCGCCGTGTCCTCATGGGAACCCCAAAAAAGACGGCAACTGTACTTCGAGGCCAATTCGATCTTGGCTTGGAGAACTCGGAATTTCGGATGTTCAGTTTGGCTTCGAGTATGTCGCCAAATTACTAAACCCTCAACCCTCAACCCTCAACCCTCAACCCTCAACCCTCAACCCTCAACCCTCAACCCTCAACCCTCAACCCTCAACCCTCAACCCTCAACCCTCAACAACCCTCAACCCTCAACCCTCAACCCTCAACCCTCAACCCAATCTCAACCCTCAACCCTCAACCCTCAACCCTCAACCTCAACCCTCAACCCTCAAACCCTCAACCCTCTCAACACCCTCAGACCCTAACCCTAAACCCTAACCCTCAACCCTCAACCCTAAACCCTATCAACCTTAAACCCGAAGCTCTAAGCCATTCTTGGGACCTCCCGAAGCCCATGCGCTGAGAAGCGCGGGTCGGGCTTATGGCTCTCCCCGGTGTGGGGGGGGGGGGGGGGGGGGGGGGGGGGGGGGGGAGGCCCTATATGCTAGGATGCCCAGTAGTGCCCTTATTCCCTTTTTGGGGGCTCTAGGGTAAACGCCTTTAAGCAAAAAAGGGCTCCCTTTTTAATCCTATGCTAGCAGTCCTTAATAGGGATTATCGTAACCCCTAATATAATTCCGTCTTCAGGACTGTTAGTATAAGGGGCGGAACATCCCAATACGAATACTGCGTCTGTTATGAATGTGAAATGAGTACATCAAGAATACATTATGGATCTATTTGTTGACTATATTATGAATACCGCATGAAAACTTTATAAATTTATGAACACACTTATGAATACCTTACCCTAAACCCTAAACCCTAAACCCTAAACCCTAAACCCTAAACCCTAAACCCTAAACCCTAAACCCTAAACCATAAGAGTTCATCATGAATACATTATCCATGCAAAGTGCTGCCTTTTGGGGCCTTGGTGCGAGGCCAAAAGGTGGATTTCGAGGAGGCCTTGGCCGAAAGAGGCCCCAGAGCCGCCAGCAGTTTAGGGTTTAGGGTTTAGGGTTTAGGGTTTAGGGTTTAGGGTTTAGGGTTGAGGGTTGAGGGTTGAGGGTTGAGGGTTAGGGTTTAGGGTTTAGGGTTTAGGGTTGAGGGTTGAGGGTTTGGGGTTTGGGGTTTGGGGTTTAGGGTGCTTGGGTTTAGGATCTGTAGGGTTAAACAATATTTAGGTTGAAGGATATGTTTAGGATCTGTAGGGTTAAAATATTTTGGTTAAACACCATATTTAGGGGTCATAATGGTGTTTAAAATATCTAGGTTAAAGGATCTTCCGAGGTTCCTGATGGGGTTCGAGTTTGTAGGGTTGGGGCCTTGGCTCCGAGGTTGTAGGGCTTTTAGGGCCCAGCATGATAGGGACGAACCCAGGTCGCTTGGGTCTGATGTTTGCCCGCCCTCAGTCTCAAAAGAAGCGTTCGCAGGTTACTCGTGCATCCGCTTCAAAGACGAGATCTTGGCTTGCTGGAATCAACAGGCCTGCTCAAGAGAGGCTGAGAGACGTTCCTAAGCCCTAAACCCTAAATCCAAAATCCTAAACCTTAACCCCTAAACCCCAAACCCTAAACCCAATGCAAGCCCTAAACTGCTTCCGGCAAAGGTCCATGAGGCTTAAGTGGCTGAACCTGAATTTTGGGAGCTCTTGAGCCCTAAGAGTGACTGGGGCTAGCTTGGGAGGTTTAGGGTTTAGGGCTTAGTGCTGGTGTGAACCAGCAGGCTGAGCAGAGGCTAGCAGTGGAATAGACGTCAGATCCCCGCAAGACTCTCCCAACACATCCATGGCTCACACAATGCGGAGGTTTTACACGCAGCAAAAGATCCTGTACTACTTGGTTGGTAAGGCTACAGCACCTACAGTAGAACTATACATACTTAAAAGACATGCTCAAGGCTGACTGTGCTTTGGGCCTACGAGCGTCAGGAGAACAACAAGATAGGCTATGGCCAAACATGTACAGGTACTACAGTTCAACACTCCTCCTTCGCTCCTTCGCCAGGAGGAAGCGACAAACAGAAACCTGTACATGTCCATCCCTTCCGGGAGGAGGTACAGACTCCCCCAAAAGGAAGGACTACAGCTGGCCGGCTGGCCTCAGAGTGGGCTCTCAAGGCACCTTTTGCAGAAGAAAGCAAACTGGCAGGGACTTAGTTTGGCAAGTCCTGCCCGTCAGGGCGGAGTTGTCTTGCTGGGCTCAACGAACTGCACAAAAGCTCAACAAGCAACAAACCTGGCAAACTCATGCAAGACAAAATGCCAAATTCTGCTCGGATTCGGACACAGCGTCCAAGTCCGAGGCTGGCAACAACGATTTGCGACGCACGGGGTTGACATCACAAGGTCTAGTCAATCGAGCACGTCTGTGAACAAACCGTGGTCGGTCCAGAAGTTGACGGCTGGACAACGCGGGCATGCTGGAACAGTGTGTCCAATCACTGAAGTCGTACGCACAAGGCGTGCTGTCACCTCGATTGGGGTCTGCATCACCATCGTCATCGCTGTCTTGCGCGTTCAGCTTGAAACACACTGGCGTGGACTGGCTATCATGTGGGCTGTTGGTCGCACGAATGTTGCCACAACCCTTTCCCGAGCCCAGCCTCAACCTTGAAGCGGCTACAAAAGCACTGGTCGCATGTGGTTTGCCGCTCTTTGATGCGTTACACCTTGGTTGATTTCGCGGGTGCAGGTTGAGCTTGCGGCTCATTGGCTCCACATTTCGGGGCAACCTGGACGTTGCTTCGCTGCTGCTCCCGCGCAGGCCCACCTGTGAGGTTCCGTCAGCATTGGCACGCTCATGCCGCACATCGGCCTCCAACTGGGCAATCAACTCAAGCGCGACGTGTTTACACATGTAGGGGCAGCCGCGGCGAATCACAAGCGGAATGACCTGCCCGTCAGGGTGGTGAAATGCACAATCGGCATCGCTCACCCAACTAAGCCTAAACCCCAAGCGACTGATCACTGCACCCATGGGTATTATTGTTTGGGTTCCTTCCCTTCCGGGTGGTGTGAGCAGAGTGCCATTGCATGTGAGACGCGCGAGCGCATGCACGTTGCCACCCAAGCTCACATCCACCTCAACCGCAGTATCCCATTCCTCCTGAGCGCCAGCCTGTCTCAGGGGATGCGTGGCACCTGAGTCTACCAACGCCAGTGCCTGAGCATGAACATGAAGTGAGCGCATTTGAGGAATGGGGTTTGGAGTCTGAGGCGATTCCTGACGTCTGCTAGCATCACAGCAGGCCTTCACCAACTCCCCAAAAAGCTTGGGCAACACCTGGCCAGCATCCTGACGATGGCCCTTCTGGACCTCTTCCCAGACCCCCCTTCTCGGCTCGAAAACTGGGGTCTGGGGAGCGGCGTCGCTCCTGCGCGTGTCTCCTCCTGGACCTGTGGCCTGCGTGGAGTTGGTTGCATCCTGCGCTGCCAGCTCCTCCTGAACCTGAGGCTGGAGTTGGGGGCTTGCTTCGTTCACCCTTCCTGCCCGACAGTCTTTGCGGTGATGTTCTTTGGAACCGCATTTCCAACACCTGTTGGCCTTGTCCTGAGCGGAAAACACACTCAGATCATGAGCATACTCACAGTGTGAACCCTTCCGGCAACCACGCGACAACACGAAGAATTTGCACAATTTCCTGGTAGGCAAACGCGGCTTTTCGTTTTGGGTGACGCTATGACTTTTATTGGCCTGCTCACCTGAGTTGGAAATCTCAGCTACCTTGCCACCTGAAACCTCTGGCTGCGCCAGTGCCAAAGTTTCAAACTCTGCCAGCAAATGACGATGATACGTGAGGACCTCCTCTCCCGAGGGATGTTGGTCGATGCGCAACACGGCACACGCGCATTGCATACGAAACGCTGCATCAGAATGCCCCTCCAACACTCCACGGGTCATTTCCGTAAGAGCTCTGGCTAAAACCATGGGATCCGGGACCATCATGCCGCACTCGACGCATCTCCGATGCCACCTACCCCAATCCCTCAAGGCCACGACGCCTGAGTGTACGTCTTGAATCAAGCAAGGACTTTGAAGGCTTCTTAGCACCAGCCACCTCTCGGCGCCACCTCCAGGCTGATACATGGTAAAAAGGCGAAACAGCAGGCAGGCAGCCACTCCCGTGGCGCGGTGGGCAAGAATGTGGGCTTTTACTGAGGGGTCTAAAGCCTCAAGTATCATGCCACACGCACGCGAGTTGACCCTGACCCACCTTCCTGAAGCCGAACCCTGTTCCTGAGGCTCAATGCTGAGTCTGTCCAGCGGACTTGCAACACACCACCTGGTATACGCCTCCCTGCTTACCTGCAACACATGTGCCCACCAAACATGGGAGGAATTGGAAAGGTCACACATTGGGTTGTGTATGAGCTCCAACCAATCCTGGAAAATGAGCGACCCGCTTGCCGGCTCTGGAGGCCCTAGCGAGGGAAGAATTGGGGAACCAGGTTTCGCAACCTCGTTGTCGCCCTTATCCATGGTGAGCTGGGCCTGGAGGCCCTGCAGCTGCAACACTCCCGCAGTGAGCGCTTCTAGCAACGGCTGCTGCGCTGGAAACCCTGATGGAGCAACCTGAGAACCTGCGTGGCCTGCGACCGCTCCTCCTGGAATGAGCTGCGAGTGTGAACCTAATGCATGCGCGACCCTTGCGGGCGCAGGTGGCGCGTGCTGTGAACATGGCTGCTGCACCCCCACCCCCTTCACTGACTGTGGAGTCCAAACCCCCTCAGCACCGGAAGACGTAGTCTGAACATTCATACCAGACAACAAGTCTGACTCAGCCGAACCCCTTAAACAAGGAGTAGGGGTTTGGGCCTGCGGCGGAAGTGGCATTGAGCCTGTAAAAGATGGAACCTGCGGTCCCTGCAAAGCGTTGGTTGCACCAACGGGCACGCTTGACGCAGATTGAGTGGCACCTGGGAGTCCTGCCAGCTCGGCGGCTGGATTGGGACCTTGGACCTGGGCACCTTGCGCCTGTGCACCTGGGAGTCCTGCCAGCATGGCTGCTGGATTGGGACCTTGGACCTGGGCACCTTGCACCTGTGCACCTGGCAGTCCTGCCAGCATGGCTGCTGGATTGGGACCTTGGACCTGGGCACCTTGCGCCTGTGCGCCTGGGAGTCCTGCCAGCACGGCTGCTGGATTGGCACCTTGGACCTGGGCACCTTGCACCTGCGCACCTGGGAGTCCTGCCAGCATGGCTGCTGGATTGGGACCTTGGACCTGGGCACCTTGCACCTGTGCACCTGGGAGTCCTGCCAGCATGGCTGCTGGATTGGGACCTTGGACCTGGGCACTTTGCACGGCACCAGGCCTTCCGGCCGGCGTTGCGCTGCACACATTTGCACACACGGCTGGTGAGTCGGCACGACTCGATGCCACAACAGTGACATGCTCGGGAAGGCCATCCCTCCCGGGAAGCGACGCAATCGGCACTTCGGCTTGCACCCCTCCTTAACTATCTTGAAGCGGGCAACCCTCACTAGGACTAACCCCCGTACCAGCCAAAGGCCACACTCCTCTGGAGAACCCTTGGTCACTGCACGCATGGTTCGCTTCCATGCCAAACCTTGGCGAAAGCAGATTTGTACTGACACTCGGTGTCTCATCATCATGCCTTGCCGTCAACACTCTTGCAAAACTCCTCCATGTCTCTGACAGTCTGGGCCATCCACTCCCAAACTCTGGAAAAAACGACTTCGCATCCGGTGTGCCTAGGCCTCGGGGTCCTAGGCTTCCGCCCGGAGTTTTCTGTTCAGCAACAGGTGGATCCTGTTCCCCACCTTGCTTGTTCGGCGAATGGGCGTTGTGCTCTGCATCCCCACGCGCCCTTCCCGCAGCCAGTGAATGTCGGATTGCGTCCCCACCGTCCAAAACTGACCCAAATGATCCAGCTTCAGAAGGGGAGCCAATCCCAAACGTAGTTTGTGGCCCATCAGTCTCAGCGCCTCCCGCTGAGACTGATGAAGTCACTCCGGTGGTGCTGTTGCCCTGCCCAAGCGTTGGGCTCATAACCTGCTGGTGTGAACCAGCAGGCTGAGCAGAGGCTAGCAGTGGAATAGACGTCAGATCCCCGCAAGACTCTCCCAACACATCCATGGCTCACACAATGCGGAGGTTTTACACGCAGCAAAAGATCCTGTACTACTTGGTTGGTAAGGCTACAGCACCTACAGTAGAACTATACATACTTAAAAGACATGCTCAAGGCTGACTGTGCTTTGGGCCTACGAGCGTCAGGAGAACAACAAGATAGGCTATGGCCAAACATGTACAGGTACTACAGTTCAACACTTAGGGTTTAGGGTTTAGGGTTTAGGGTTTAGGGTTAGGGTTTGGGCAGACAGCTTGGGGTTTAGGGTCTAGGGGCGGATGCTTCGGTGCCTTCGGTGCCCAGACAAGGGTTTAGGGTTTAGGGTTTGGGGTTTGGGGTTTGGGGTTTGGGGTTTAGGGTTTGGGGTTTGGGGTTTAGGGTCCCAGGGTTTGGGGTTTTGGGTTCAGGGTATAGGGGTTGTATGGGTCGTGGGATTCATTGGCACCTTCTTGTGGGCACTTCTCGGTGTCCCTGCTCTGAGTCCCTTGAAGGTCGGTTGCTTCAAGAAGGAGTTCTACAAGGGCTGTAAGAGTATTTCCTCAAGTACCCCCAACAACTCCCCCCCCCCCTCACCCCTCTAAAGAAAACAATGGACTGTAATCCTTGTTGTAGGAAACCCCCACCCCCCCCCCCCCCCCCCCCGAAAAAAAAAAAAGAGAAAAAACACAAGCACTAGATATATAACAAAACAAAAGGGGGGGGGGCACCCCAAACCCCAAGCCTTACGAAAACCTCTAGAAGTAGCCGAACACCATCTGTGGGCTTGATTTTTCTTTCTGCGCTTGAAGGTAAGCCTACCCCCCCTCCCGACCCTAAACCCCTATTAAAACCCTTAAACCCCCCAAATCATTGAATCACTGAAACCCCTAAACTCTCAACCTCAAGCTGTAAACCCACAGCCTGGAGGACTTCGAGAAGCCTGACTTTTGGGCGAAAGACCTGGGCTTCGAATTGTCACAGAAGACGCCTCGGCTGCAGCAAGTGGGCCCGAACCATGAAGCCTAACGCCTAATCCCGAATCGAGGACCCGAAGCCCTGAACCCTACAAGCCCCTAAACCATAAGCCCTGAACCCTATAAGCCCTTATCTCTAACCCCCACGGAACCAAAGCCGGACCCTCAACGCAAAGACCCCCCATCGCACATCGTTCTCGCGCCTGAGAGATGCCCGGCGGACTCCCCTGTCACATCTCTCTCTCTCTCTCTCTCTCTCCCTCTTTCTCTCTCAATCTATACATATATATATATATGTATACATGTAGGTGTATGTATATTATGGTTGATGTGTTTATTGATTAATGTGTGTAATTATGTGGTTATGTATGTATATATATATATATACACATGCCTTAGAGCCCTAAACTTTGTGACTGTGTGTTTAGGGATCGTTGTGTTGGGGTGTCGGGTTTATGGCTGCAGGGGTTGGAGGTTTCGGCTGTTTAGGCTGCGGACGTATGGATGCGGGTTCAGCGCTATGGGTGTTTAAAGTCACGGGCTTCGGTTGCAGAACCAAGAGGCTGCCAAACTTTAAACCCAGCCTCAAGCCTCAAGATCTCTTAGGGTTAACCTACCAGCCTCAACCCTAAACCCCAAAACCCTAAACTTTAAACCTTGAACCCTACACCCTAAACCCCAAACCCTAAACCCCACACCCTAAAACCCTAAACCCTAAATCGACACTACGGAGGAAAGGGGAGCCAACGATCGTGTGCATGGAGGGCAGGTCCGGGGCCGCTGCATGCAACGTGTGCTTCAACGAGCTGAGACCTGGACCAGAGCTGGACCAGGTAGGGTTTAGGGTTTAGAGTTTCGGGTTTAGGGTTTTAGGATTTCAGGGTTTAGGGTTTAGGGTTCAGAGTTGAGGGTTTAGGGTTTAAGGTTTAGGTATAGGGTTTGGGGTTTAGGGGTTTGGTGGTTGAGGGTGTTTTGGGGGTCTAGGGTTTCGGGTTTCCGGTGTTAGGGTTTGGGGCCTAGAGGAGTTTGGGGTTGAGGGTTTACTGTGGGATTTGGGGATCAAGTTTTGGGCTTGAGGGGTTTAAAGTTTTCAGGGTTGGAGGTGTTTTTTTGTGTTGAGTTCACGGTTCAGGGCTGTCAGTTTTGTCTAAGATTTCGCACGCAGCCTTTTGAAAATTTGGGCTCTGGCTCACATTTAAGGTCCCCAAACGGCTACGAAACTTCTAACCCCCCAAAAACCCTAAACCCTAAACCCTAAACCCTAAAACACAAGTCCCTGGGCTTAAGGTCCCAAAGCCCTGAACCTGCGGGACTTGTGTTTGCTTCAGGTGCCTGGAAAGTTTAGGGTTGTAGGGTTTAAGGTTAGGGGTTCGGATCTTTAGTGTTGGAGGTCTTAGCTTTCAGGTTGTAGGGTTACCCAGGTGCGGTTTGGGGTTTAGTTCGGGTTTTGGAGCCCTATCAGCCCTTACGCCTACCCTACCAGCCCTACACCCTGCATAAGGATCACGAAGATGCAGCGTGGAGAGACCCTAGACACGGTGCGCAACCCGTCGCTGGAGGACTTGTCCTCGTGCCCTGATCCTTCTTTCACTTGTGGAGTGTTCCGAATCCCGACAATTTGCATAGTTTAGGGTTTAGGGACTTGACAGCCCCCAGGAAGCTTTCTGCACAGTCGTACATCTACTCTGCGCTATCCCAGAGTCACTCATAGTCAGCACCCCTTACTGTCCAGTTTGCGATGTTTTCTCTGGTTCCCAAGCCCGGGGTACTGGGCTAGTGGGCCATCCGAGACCTTGAATCCTCATTCAAGTTTCTTCGCCCTAAACCGCTATCAGCCCAGAAGCCCCAAATCCCCACACCCGAATGTTAAACCCCTAGAAGCCCAGAATCCCTACATCATAATCCCTACAACCCCTACACCCTCTAAGCCCTCAACCCTATACTCCCTACAGACCCTGAGCCCTGAACCCCTAAACTGAAATCCCTACAACCCCTACACCCTCTACACCCTCTAAGCCCTCTAAGCCCCCTAAGCCCCCTAAGCCCCCTAAGCCCCCTGAGCCCTATAATCCCTACAACCCCTCCAAGCCCTCTAAGCGCTAAAATCCCTACAGACCCTGAGCCCAGTGAGCTCCGAGGCGCGCGGCGCACGAGGGCGCGCTGCTGCGGCTGAAGCACGCCGGTTCCGGGTGCCCCTTAGGGTTTATAGGGTTTAGGGTTTAGGGTTTAGGGTTTAGGGTTTAGGGTTTAGGGTTTAGGGTTTAGGGTTTCATCCGAACACTAAACCCCAGAGCCTTAGCCCTGAACTCCCCCAACCGCCCAAACGCCCAATGAGCACCAGTCCGGTACACAGCACTTTGTGCCCTACACCTGACAGCCCCGGACGGCGCCACTCGAACTCCTCTACCGCTCATATATGTTATGCACATATACCCTGAGCAAGCACCATGCAGCCCTAAACCCGACAGACTTCTACGCCCATCCTTGAACCTAAAACCTCGATTTGAAGGTCGATGGTCGTCATCACGGCACTTCACCTGCAGACCCCCAGCACCGACGGTACTGGCGAGCACCCCGGCCTTTGTTGCTTACGGTGCAGGGTTCAGGGTCAGGGTTGGGCAAATACCTGGAGACATACAATGTGCCATGCAGCTCCCCTCACACCATCAACATACACACACGCACGAAAAACAAACATGACTCTTGAGAACTGAATACTTCGAAGAGCTCAAGTCCGAAAGCGCTAAAACCCGAAAGCCCCAACAATAAAAAGACAACAGTCAGATCCGAAGCCCTAATAAGACCTAAACCCCCACACCATGAAACCCTAGGTAAGGGAACCCGAGAAAATCCTTCTAAACACCAAGATATTGTTGATGCTAAAAATCCTGCATCAGTTTTTCCACAACCCAATCCCCTTGCCACCCCTAATTTTAACATTGATGCAGAGTCCAGTCCCCAGAAACCCAGCGGCGCGAGTCATGCAAATCCTGCATGAAAAGAGGGGCCCAAGCAACATTGAAATGAAGGGGCGCGCAGGGGATTTCTATACGCAAGTTGGTGTGTGGGCGGCTGGGGTCATGCAGGATTTCTATCATCCACCGTATGAATCCGAAAGCCCTTCAACCCTAAAACCCTGAAGCACTAGATCCCCCAAGCCCCTCCCGGCTAGCTAAGCCCTCAGGCCTTAAACATCCTTAAACCCAACAGCCCCTCATTCCTAAACGCCCTAAACCCTAAATGTCCTAAAAGCTAAACGCCCGAAACCCTAAGCCCTAAACCCTCCCGAGGATGCGCTCGCATGAGCTACATCAACTGAGAGGCACGATGCACAACTACCTTGCATTTTTGGGGGGAGTTTTGGGTCTAGGGCTTGGGGATTACGCTACTTGGGGATCCCCATAGGTAATAGGGAATGGCGCTCCCGGGAAGCGACTGAGCAAGAGTACATTGGAGTTGCTCAGCCATTTTAAGACCTTCTGATCGGGGGTGGGGGAGAGCGGGACGGCCAGAGGTCAGCTGGAAATGTTCGCCGGCAGCAACGACTACGTCATCATGGGCGGCGATTTCAACATCAACCTGTCCCCGCAGTGCCTGGCAAGCACTAGGGTGTCGAAGTCTGTTTCGGACTGCCCGGCATGGGACATTGTAGTTCCCAACAACTCTTCAGCGCCACGCAGTGTCCAGGCCGGACCGACAAAGACGGAAACGTCCAGAAACCCACTCTAAACCCAAGCCCTAAACCCACAACCTCTGCCGTTGTGTCCTTGAAGAATGTCGCATGGGCTACCAAGGTCAGAAAAAACCCACCAGAACAGCCCAGATAGACACTACAGGGAACCCCCAGCTCTCCGCCCCGCAGTTAAGGGACATTTTTGGCATGGTTCAGAGTTTAGGGTTCAGGGTTGAAGGGCCCGAACCCTAAACCCTAAACCCTAAACCCTGAACCCTAAACCCTAAACCCTAAACCCTAAACCCTAAACCCTAAACCCTAAACCCTAAACCCTAAACCCTAAACCCTAAACCCTAAACCCTAAACCCTAAACCCTAAACCCTAAACCCCCGAAAAGTGCCACGCAGTTTTACCTTTGTGAACTTGGTGAACCAAAATGCTAAGCCTCCAGCCTGCAAGCTTCGAGGGGTGGCGAGTACGAGCGGTTCATCTTCACGGGCAGGTTCCCGAGCAGGAGCGGGGTTCCTGGGCCTCCGAAGGTGGTTCGGGTCTAGGGTGTAGGGGTTTAGGGGTGTAGGGCTTAGGCTTTAAGTTTAGGGGGTTTTGGGGTTTAGGGGGTTTAGGGGGGTTTAGGGGGGTTTAGGGGTTTAGGGGTTTAGGGTTTAGGGCTTAGGGCTTAGGACTCAGGCAGGGCCAGGGGAGCTCATCTACATCCCAGGGTTTAGGCCTCAAGGTTTCAGGGCTTTGAGTTTCAGGTTTGGCTGAACCCTAAACCCTAAACCCTAAACCCTAAACCCTAAACCCTAAACCCTAAACCCTATGCACCCTGAACCCCAGGTTGGATGGTGCACCTGTGAGATTCCAGAAGCACCGATGCCCCAACCCTAAGAGGGTTTAAGGATTCGGGTTTAGGGTTCGGAGATCACGGGTCTAGGCGTCAAAATCTGAAGCCCAAAGCCCTAAACCCTATAACCTGAGTGCCCTAACCCCTAAACCCCTAAACCCTAAGCCCTACACCCTAAACCCCAAACCCCAAACCCCAAACCCCAAACCGAAGGAGCATGGTCCTGAAGGCCATCAACCGAACTCGATTTCAGACAGGCCGGGCCCACAGCACAGCTTCCGCTTTGTTGGCTGAGGCCGCGGGGTTTTGGGGTTTAGGGGGTTCAGGGTTCAGGGTGCCTCGGGGTTGCAGGTTTTAACCCTAACCCCTAAACCCTACACCCTAAACCTTAAACCCTAAACCCTAAACCCTAAACTCTAAACCTTAAACCCTAACCCCAATCCGTTTGAGCGATTCCGGGAAACAAGAACCGAGGCTTCACGATGCATGCCTACGGCGAACACGACGTCCCCGGCGTGGTCGGGGGCCACAGTTTGGGGGGTTGACCCTAAACCCCTAGACTCGGGGTGAAGGGGTTTGGGATTAGGGCTTAAGCTTCCACTCTTGAGGTTTAGGGATTGGGGTTTTTGGGGTTTAGGCTTCTTACTGTGGTTTTTTAAAACCCTAAACCCTAAACCCTCAACCCTCAACCCTCAACCCTCAACCCTCAACCCTCAACCCTCAACCCTCAACCCTCAACCCTCAACCCTCAACCCTCAACCCTCAACCCTCAACCTTCAACCTTCAACCCTAAACCCTAAACCCTAAACCCTAAACCCTAGACCCTAGACCCTAGACCCTAAACCCTAAACCCTAAACCCTAAACCCTAAACCCTAAACCCTAAACCCTAAACCCTAAACCCTAAACCCTAAACCCTAAACCCTAAACCCTACCCTAAACCCCTAAACCCTTAGGGGGGCCCTTAGAGCGCCTTCAGCCCTCGGGGTTCCAGAGGCCTACAAGCTTGGCAGCCGGCGTCTTCTGGACGTCATGGGGGAGGAGGACCAAGGCTCTGGGCGTCGCAATGTTTAGGGTTTAGGGTTGAGGGTTGAGGGTTGAGGGTTTAGGGTTGAGGGTGTGGGGCGTCTCGCCGCGCAGCGGCAGCAAGTGACATGTGGAAATGGCGCCCCAACACACCCAGCGGTATGGTGGGGAGGCATGTCACGCGAAGGCACACGCTTCCAATCCAGGAGCGCGTATTGAGTACAGGTGTTTTTGGACTGCCGTGTTGTGCAGAACCTTTAGTGTGTTTTAGGGTCTGCGGGTGTTTCATGGTTCCAGGATGTAGGATTGGGGTCTAGGGTTTCGGGGTTGGGGGTTAGGGGTTAGGGGTTAGGGTGGCCCTCGGAACGCTTCCCATGTTCCTCTTGTATGAGGGCTTGAAGATGTCATACAAGAATCTTTTGCAGAGCGCTTGTGGGCCTAGCTTAGTGTATGCGTCCTAACTTCACTGTTCCCAAGCAGGCGCGGGCTTTACTTCAGGGCCTATAGGGTCTAAAGGTTTAAGTTTAGGGCCTGTAGGGCTTCGGAGCACAACTCTAAGCCCCAAACAAGACATCCTGTTGCACAGAACTCTCAACCCTTTAGGGTTTAGGGTTTAGGGTTTTCCTGGTTTAGGGCACCAGCTTCCCAAAAGCCTTACACACGAGCCCATGCAGGCGGCTGCGTGAGCTCCAAGGCAGATTCGCCTTTCCAGGGTTTGATTGTTTAGGGTTTAGGGTTTCGGGTTTAGGCTTTAGGGTTTAGGGGGTTTGGTCTGAAGGTGCCCTCCCGCTCTGGCCAGCCCCCCAAGCCTGGCACAGTGGTTGCGCTTCCTGTCCCCCCCCCCCCCGCCCCCAAACGCTAAATGCCTAAGCCATGAACCCTAAACAACCCTGGATCCCAAAATCCAGGAAGTTGGTTGTCGGCCTTGCTCTCGGATTAGTGTGCACGATTCAACTAGGAGGTCCTCAGGGTGTTCCTCTTTACTTTTGTGTTTAGGGGTTTCCGCTTAAATCCCAATGAATCAAACAACAGGGGTCCTTGTCATTCGTTCGTTGCTCGGGAGCTTCGTGGCGTTGGGGTCTTTAAGGTTCGGTTACAAGCCCGATGGGCCTCAACCCCTGCGTTCGAAACCACTGTGAGGCTCATGGGCGGGGAGACCTGAGAGAAAGCGGGGGAGGTAAACATTTGCATGCATTCTTGTCTGGGAAGTCCCCGGCTCAAGCCAAGCTTGCAATGTAACTTTAATTTAAGAGGCAGAAGTCGTTTACACTAGGCACATACAACGGGATCCAAGCCAGCAACCCGAAAGAACCCAAACCTTCAACCTCAAGCGCTGCATTCCCGAAATCATGCTTCCCCCCCCCCCCCCCCCAAAAAAAAAAAAAAAAAAAAACCAAACCCCGCAACCCAACAGCCTCAAACCGAAAGCCCAAATCTACAAACCCCAAACACCCTAAGCCCGGTTTTCGAGGCCGCTGGACGGGACACTTGGACTCATGTTGCGGGCGTGCGCTCATCTCCCTGATCTGGCCAACACGATGACAAGGGGTTGGGGTTTCGGGTTTTCGGGGTTTCGGGGTTTCGGGTTTTCGGGGTTTAGGGGTTAGGGTTCCGGGTTTGTTCTACCCGCTTTTTGTTGAGGTTTGGGGTTTACAAGTTTGGGAACCCAAATGACCAGCTTAATGGGGTTTCATAATTACAGGGACGCCTCCCTCGCCCGTTCTCCGGCATCATCGCTTTGTCTAGCTGTTGTCGGCGTGACGTCCCCGTAGCGCCACATCGTAAAACCTGAATCCTGAGCCCCGAAACCCTAAACCCTAAATCCTAAACCCTAAACCCTAAGCCCCCTAAACCCCAAGCCCCGACTTTCCTTGTGCACGCTCTACCCCAACCCCAGGCAGACCATCCTACCACTTTTCCTTGTATGGGTTCAGGGTGTAGGGTTTGGGATTAGGGTTTAAGGTTTAGGATTCTGGGATTCCGGGTTTAGGGGTTTAGGGGTTTGGGTCTTTACACCCACGATACAAATACCCCAAACGCCAAAGGGCGCCAGATGACCTGGTCCTCAATTCTTGGCTGCTGTAGAGAGGCCTTGATGATCGACTACATCTTCGCCGATTCGAGGTTGACCCAGGGCGTGCAGCAGCCTGACCAGCTTTAGGGGGGCAGGGTAGCCCTATAGGAACCCTAAACGCTGCCTTAAGCACGAGAGGTCCTATGCACCCTGTCAGAAAAAACTTCAAGCCCCTAAGCCTCAGACCCATGGTGGGTGGTGGGGGGGGGGGGCTAGGAGCTCGGTGCTTCGGGCAACTTTTCTTAGGACCCGGACCCGGCGTGGGCCCGCGCAACGCCCCGCGCCCCCTCTTTTTGAAGTTACCCTAAAATCCCTAAAGCCTGTTCAGCAAACAAGGGTGCCCTGCGTATTCCTGTGTTGTTCTGGGACCTAGTGTTGGCTTGGCATAGCCGTAGCTTGTAGGAGCTAGCTCTGGGGGCCTGTACACTGTTCTGGGTTTAGAGTCCAGGGCGGCCTTCCGAGTCAGAAGATGCACCGAGGTGCTTCCCCTTCATAGGGTTCTGATGCGGCTTCTGACTTGTATGGCTTAGGGTTTATCGGGTTTGGGGGTGTCGGGTCGACTTAGGGTAGTTACATGGACACTGAACATGGGCCCTTACCCGTGATGTACCCTATCAAGCCCAATAGCCCATACTTCAGAACCCTTTGAAGAAGGTAAGGGACCACACTGAGGGACCGTGGAACCTAAACCCTATAAACCCTAAACCCTATCAACCCTATAAAGCCTGTTTACCTTAAGAACCCTGTAAACCCTATAAACCCCATAAACTGCTATGAACCCTATAAACCCGATTAACCCTATAAACCCTAAAAACCCTATAAACCCTATAAACCCTATAAACCCTATAAACCCCATAAACCCTATTGACCCTCAACCCTGAGCCGAAAAAAAACCCTTAGATTTCTGGCTTGAGTGTAGGCACGGCGGCGTCTGCATGCAGCCCACGCCCCCTCTGGAGCCGAGATTTATCCCCGACGTGCTCTTTGGGCCGGCACAGGGTTCACGGGGTTCGCAGTTCAGGTTCGTCTTTTTTTTTTTTTTATTGGGGGTGGGGGGGGGGGGGGGGGGTTGGGGAGTTGTTTGTTTTTTTTTTTTTTTGGGGTGGGGAGGGGGGGGGGTGTTTGGGCTATAGAGTCTAGGGGTTTCTTGGGACACTCAAACCCCCTAAGAGCGAAAGACCTACCCGAAACCCTCAGCCCTGAAACAATGATGGTAAAAGAAGATTTCTCCGCAGGTATTAAGAACCGTCCGAGAGTTTACGGCTCCAATGAGGCCTGACACCCTAAACTCTATGCGAAGCCCTACCCCCCACTCCCCCCCCACCCCCCAAACCCAAGTTAAACCACACAACCCAACCCTAAAGCCTAAATCCATAGACCTAAATTGAACCCTTCGCCCGCTTTAGAGCCTACAAGCCTTATAAACCCTACAGGCCCCCCACCCATAGAAACCCTCAACCCCGGAAGCAGGCTTGGTTCCCCCCCCCCCACAAGTTGATGTTAGGGTGTAGGTTTCAGGGTTTTGGCCAAAGTCCTGTCACCTGCTGGTTCCAGGTCTCTTTAGATTGAGAGGCTGCTTCGAGATTTCCAGTAGGCTCACAGATCGTCAGCCATGATGTCGGAAAAGCCCTTAGCACGTGCAGGCGTAGATGCCTACACAGTCTCTAAGTCTCTCACTATCTCATTCTCTCTGTCTCTCTCTTTAGTCTCAAGCTATTTTTTGCATTGTTGGAACTGTTTCTGCTTCTCTCCTCCCTCCTGCTCACTGACTCGCTCGCTCAGTCTCTCACTCACAGCCTCACGGAAGAACGTGCACCACCAGAAGACCCTAACCCAAAGCTTGTCAACCAAAATCTGCTCCAAGGACCTGGCTCCAATCTCAGCCCTTACGCCTAAACCCAACTCCAAAAACTCTCTGAGCCCTACATCCTGTAGTCCCGGCCGAGGAACCAGGAGTTTCCTGTGGAATTCTCGGATCACTTTGGCCTGACTGCCCTGCTCCACATCCCCGGCAGACCTAAGCCGGCAGGGGCCCCTCACTAGCTTGGTAGCCCAGTGGTTTTGGGTTTATAGGGTTTAGGGTTTCCTCGGAAAAATCAACAGCCCCAAACGGGTACCCTTATGACAATATGGTTAAGCACGGCAACCAAGCTAAACACGGCCGGCCGTGGATAAAAGACCCGCGCTCACTGGGTGTAGTGTTGGGGGATTCGGAGGTTTCGGGCGTTTCGGGGGTTTCGGGGATTTCGGTGGTTTCAGGGGCTTATGGGGGTTTCAGGATCTGGCTCCTTGCAATGAGCCGCGCATCTTTTTTGATGCTTCGCAGCTTCTTTTGCTCAGACAACGCCCGCCTGCTCTAGGATTTCCAGTACTGCCCCTTCTCCATCCTTTTGTTCCCTTAATTTGGGGATAAGCCCTCTTATGTAAGCAACAAAGGGGCACCGGTGCACTCAGCAAGTTGCTCAACAAGAGCCCGACATCCTAAGGGCCATAGTAGGCTTAGGGCTTGGGGGTTTCAGCCTCTATCCCTAAACCCAAAACCCGAAACCCTAAACCCTAAACCCTAACCCCTAAACCCTAAACCCAAAACCCTAAACCAGCCCTAAACCCTAAAGCAGGAGACAGTCAGGAGAGCATGGTGAGCCCCAAAGTCCCACAGTCACCTGCGCAGAGAAACTGAAATTATAAAGACTTTTTGAGGATTTGCCTTTTTGTTTTAAAAACTGACTTTTTGAGGATTTTTTAGGGTTTAGGGTTTAGTTTCTTTTTTGTTTACTTCTTTTTGGGGGTTTTTAGGGTTTAGGGATTAGGGTCAACTGGGACGGCCATGGGTGGAAGGGCTTGCTGCAAGTACTGCTGCCTCTTCTTCCCGCCGATCTTGGTCGCACTGTACTTAGGTGGCTGGAAGGATCAACCCCCGTGGCTCGCCGGGTGTCAAGGTACGGGTGCCCCTCGTTGGCTTAGGGCTTAGGGCTTAGGGCTTAGGCTGAGAATACGGTACCCCCAACTTGAAAGAACTATGCGGGCTTGGCATTCTCTGATACCCATAGAGCCTATCAAAGCTACGTACATTCTGCACGCAGCTTTCCGCGGATGACCGTGGCTGACCCCCGGAAGAACCCTAAACTCTAAACATCACTCCAAACCCCAAGCCTATGATAGGGTTCGGGGCTTAGTCTTTAGGGGCGCAATCAAGGGCAGAGCGAATGAAAGCAATGCAGAAACCGTCAATATTGGATCACTTGCATCTCGCAGTGGCGTAAGTGCTGAGAAGGCAGGCAAAAGACCCTGTAAAACACACAGGACCTCCTGCAAAATACCCCTTGCTTTTGGCTTCTTCCCGCCTCCCTGACAGTGAGGTTTGTCCGAGTGGTGGGGAAGACGCCCTTCGCGTGGCCTGAAAATTATGAGGCCTTTACCCTCACGGACAGACAGCGTGAAGAATTCTTTAGAGACTTGGTAGCCCAATGGGTTCAATGGTACCTTTTCCCCTTTACAAGTAAGAAATAAGCAGCCCTCAGAAGGATGTCATTGTTGCAAGTGTTTGCGGCTCTACCAAGGAGATGGTGCTACGCTTCTCAAAGGGGTCCTGAAACCTACAGTCATCAAGGAACTTCACAAGATTATTTCGCCTATTCCTCGGACGGATCCTCAGCACACCGGTAACCTGTGGATGTTGCATGACGAGCTGTTGGACTTCTATCTCCATGGGCCACTGGCAGACATTGCAAGGCAGCTTTTTGAGAGCCCGCAAGCGGTGACTGCTCATCTACCTCCAAGCGCACAGATCCAGAGGGATTTCTTCAACATCAGAAATGGAGATTCCACCAACGGATGGCACATCGATCGCACTGAATGTCAACGTGGTGACCAGCCCTCCAAATTTCTTTCTACGGCCTTGGCAAGACTGGCAGTGCCCCTGATTTTGGAGGGTGGTGTAAGAGGCACACAGATTATCAACCAGAGCAAGTATGCTGCCGCCATGTCTGAAAAAGACCGGGAAGCCTACTTTGCAGGCAAAGCCATGTACAGAAAAGAAGGTCGTTTTGAGGACTGGATGGGCTGGGACACGAACACGAGCCTGCCGGTACTTCCAGGAGTTACACTGACTGAAGACATGATCATGGAACCGTGGATGGAACCTCGGTAGTCCTGCTTGCTGTTTACATTGCTTGTTCTTGGTCGCAGTTAAAGCGGATCCTGTTGAGGATTAAGTTTTGAGCCCTCAGCCTAAGCCCAACAAAAGCCGTGAATTCCCCTATACCCCAAACACCTTAAACCCGACACTTCCCAGTGCCCTATAAGCCCTAAACCCTGCAACCCTATATACAGCCACCCTGCAACCCTAAACCCTAGACCCTAAACCCCTATATACGGCCAGCGAAGTGCCACCCCAAGGAACCAGGAGACGTCGTCGTCTTCAACACCTGTCTTTGGCATCGTAGTCCTCCATGGACTGGTCCTGAGCCGGAGATTCTAAGCAGGACCTTGGGAGATTTTGGTGGTTTAGGGTTGAGGGTCTAGGGTTTAGGGAACCCTCAGCCCCTAAACCTCAAACAGTGACAACTTTTCAGAAGCCTGAAGCCAAGTAAGGCTTGGCTTACATCCGACTTTTGCGCCATCCACTCATGTCAACCATGATCCGCCCGCCTACACCGATCCCATGGGCACCTGGCACCTCGGACTTTGAGGTTTAGGGTTTAGGGTTTAGGGTTTAGGGTTTAGGGTTTAGGTTTCAGGGTTTAACGTTCTCAGGGTTCTCAGGCTTCTCCCTGGGTTTAGGGTGTGTAGGGTTTAGCATTCTCAGGGTTTAGTGTTCAGGATTTTCAGTAGGGTTTAGGGTTCTCAGGGTCCAAAATCAGGGTTTAGGGCCACGTGTTTTTGGGGTCCTTATTTCCAAATTTTCTTTAAACTCCCCTATGTTGTTGGAAAGTTGCAACCCCCCCCCCCCCCCCCCCCCCCCCCCCAGGTGCTTAAATGACGACTTTGCCCACCAAGCGATCGGCGAGGGACCGAGTCCATGCTTTCCGCACGCCTACCCCGAAGAGAAGAGGCCGAAGAATGGCTCGACCTTGACCTTGCAACGAAGGCCCATGGCCCTCCCAAGGCATCTCCTCATCAGCTTCCTGGGAGTTCGTTTCAGAGACCAACTACGGAAGGTTTTCTACCGCTGAAATGGGCAGTGGCATGCAGCCACTAGAGGCCTATGGTAAGAAGTAAGCTAAGGAGTTTTCGGTTTTTGGCGCATGGCTCGCGAAGAAGACTGCAAAGGTCGCGCGAGAGGGCGCAGAAGTTGTGATCACAGTTCCACAGTGGACTGCCTTAGCCTCCCCTCACGTGCTCATCGACGCGGAAAGCAAAAATGAAGACTGTTCTTTCCCAGCGGAAGCTCCCGTCGCGCAGCATTGACCCCATTGGCCCAGCACTTGCTACTTGTAATGTGGTGAAGCAGTGAAGCATGGTAAGCCCAGCGACAAAGCATCACACGCATCCATAGACAACTATTGTAGGTTTGCTGTTCATACTTGCAGGATGGCTGTTCATGTCGACCCTCAGTTTTTGTCTCTATGGCACGACCTTACAGCTTACATGATGCCAACGCCCACAAGCCATCACATGGCCATGGATTGGTGATTGGTCCTTATTATACCATGCGTAGAATCTCCGACCGATAGGCCTGATTAGACATGAGGAGATCACCCTTCCCGTGATGTGCCCGGCGAAGCTCTTGGTCCTAAACCCTAAACCCTAAACCCTAACCCTAAACCCTAAACCCTAAACCCTAAACCCTACACCCTACACCCTAAACCCTTAACCCTAAACCCTTAACCCTAAACCCTTAACCCTTAACCCTAAACCCTAAACCCTATACCCTAAACCCTAAACGCTAAACCCTAAACGCTAAACCCTAAACCCTAAACCCTAAACCCTAAACCCTAGACCCTAAACCCTAAACCCTAAACCCTAAACCCTAAACCCTAAACCCTAAACCCTAAACCCTAAACCCTAAACCCTAAACCTAAACCTAAACCCTAAACCCTAAACCCTAAACCCTAAACCGAAGTGAACACCAGAGCCCTGCAGCTTCACGGCGGATGCGCCCAGACAACCCCATGAACTTATGCCCTATCAACCCTGACCCGCCCTAAACCCTAGGCCCTGTTGGCCCCATTCCCTATACCCTGTTAAAGCCTCTTAAGCCTCGCAACCGGCAGCCCCTGTGCTCAAAGCCCCGTGCCTGCCATTCCTGGACTGTACAGGCTGCAGCGCTGCCATTCTTGTTTAGGGCTTAGGGTTTCGGGCCTAGCATTTTGGGATCTACTTACTTGGCGTGTCTTGGCAGGTCTTTTTTTGCATTTCAGACTTTTTTCTCTATATAAATAGATAAATAAATCTATAAATAAATAAATGAATATATATATATATATATGTATGTATGTATATATATATATATGTATAGGGAGTACAAGAGTGCGTTTGCCAGCTTCAGGCTCCTGTGTTAGGGTTCTATCACGACAATCGTTGAGGGTTTGGGGCTTCTAGATCCTAAGACCCGAATACCATACAACCCTGTGCCCAAGACAGCAGAAGCCCTAAACCCTAAACGGCCCTAACATAGGGGTCGGAATTAATACTAGTAGTATTCCCTTATGGTCCCTTTGTGAGTATACCACAATAACCCCCCCCCCCCAAACCCTGTTCTCATTATTCAGGCCCCTATATTCAGCCCCAAACCTAAAACCCCTGCAACCCATGTCGTGCCGCAGCTGAAGTCCTGAAATCAAAGGCCGACGACACCCCAAGTCCCTAAGCTGTGGACCAGAGCTCCAAGCCATAAACTCTGAGCCCTACACCCTAAACTCTAAACCCTAAACCCTAAACCCTAAACCCTAAACCCTAAACCCTACACCCTAAACCCTAAACCCTAAACCATAACTCCAAGCCATTTGAATCCTCGCAATTACGGTTTTGAGGCTTCGTTTCCCCAACCCAGAATGTGTAGGGCTATGCCACAACAAGCCCGCCTAGACCCTAAACCCCTACCGCCTACCTCCCCAAACTGAAGCCCTGGCTCTAAACTCCCTGAACTCTAGACTTTAGGATTTCGGGGTTAAAATTTAGGGTTTAGGGTTTAGGGTTTAGGGTTTAGGGTTTAGGGTTTAGGGTCGGATCGCCAAAACCTCGCACAGACCATGGCTCTCATTCTGACGTTGGCTCTGCTCCTCCCTGGAGCTCGAGGAGTTCATCTGTTGAGATTTAGGGTTTAGGGATTTCAGATCTATGGATCCCGGAGTCTCCTAAACACTAAACCCTGCAAAGGACTTCGGTGTTCAGAGTTTGTGGGCTTCGGATTTCGGACTTCGGAGGAAGGGGAGATTTTAGGGCTCTTAGGGTATTTAGGGACATCTCATTGCGGCCGCGTACTCGGGCATGCCCGGGCATACCAGGGCCTACCCGGTCATACCCGGTCATACTCGGTCATACTCGGTCATACCGTCCCGTGTCTTTTCGCAGTCGCTGTTTCCCGTCACAGTGGGATATCTAGTAGCCCTAAGCCCTTGGCAGGTTTGGAGACCTTCAGAGGCGGTCTTGCATTGACAGTTCACAGGTTTCTTCATTCCATAACCCTACAGGCGCCCATGGTCAATAAGGCCTATTGGGGTTTAGGGAAGCGGGTTTAGGGTTATGAGGGTTAGGGTATAAGGGTATGTTGGTTTAGGGTTTAAGGTAGGAATGTTTTTGGTTTAGGGGTCCTATGCTGCCTCTTGGGGGCTTTATGCGGACCATTCAGGCAACAACTTCAATTATTGATTCCCAATGTTATCCTCTACTGAGCTTGCAGTGCAAAGGACCCAAAATACAAGGAACATGGGCCTATATACTCGGCTCCACTAAGGTTGCTGTAGTTGCTGTAAGACTTCTGACGACGTGGCGCTCTGGCGTGAGGTTCACAGTGGAGAGGAACAGGGCCAGAAGCGTTTCCGGGCTTTGGTATTTGCTTCGAGGTTGTATCCCGAAACCTGAAGCCCGAACGAGCCCTAAGCCTGATGGTCCCTCATCAGGGTTTAGGGTCCCTCAAAACCCTAAACCCTAAATCCTAAACCCTAAACCCTAAACCCTAAAATCCCCTCAGACCAAGCACTGCTGGCGGGTGCAGGAGATGGGTGCATGATCACATCGAAGGCCGGGTGTTCAGTTACGACCTGGGGGTTGGCTTTGCAGGCGATCTTTCTGGTACACTAAAGAACGGCAGGGCCTTAATTAAACTATCATGGAGACCACATACTGTTACGTACTGCACATATATATATATATACATATATACATACAAATGTGTATATGGTGGCCCCCCGGCCATGTACCTGCCATTCGGGCAGTACTAACTGTTTCTTCAAGATTTCGAGTTTGGTGTACATCCGCGTACGATGAAGGACAGCTAGTGGGAGCCCCGCGAAAAACGGTGAAGGATCAGTTTAGAAAGGTTGGTTTTGCCAATGCTTTCCGAGATCGATCCTACGAAAACATTGGTAAAACCAATAACATCCAAGACGTCTGGGAAAATCATGGGATTTATTGGTTCTTCCCGATAGAAGGGCCGCACAATATCCACACGCACACACTCTCTCTCTCTTTCTCTTTCTCTTTTTCTGTCTCTGTCTCTGTCTCTTTCTCTTTCTCTTTCTCTTTCTCTTTCTCTTTCTCTTTCTCTTTCTGTTTAGATATCTATGTAGATAGACAGCTTAGGATTCAGGGTCTAGGGTTTGATGGCCAGTAGTGCCCTCATTTGTGGCAAGGGATGCTCCCAAGCTGGGCGCCCGTGACAGAGCAGACCTCTGCCCTTGCTTATCTTGCTTGCCCTCTGTGCCCGGCCTGCCTGGCCCTTTTCGCACCTGACCTCTGCTTGGGCTCGTCGAGCTTCCTCTGGCCTCCGCTTGGGTCCGTCAAGCTTCTTGCGCATAGCTTGTAAAGTAGCACACGCTGCTACGGCCCGTCGGCAAGCATGGGGCTGGAGGTCTTGCGGGACGCCGGGGACTCCTGCAGGTGTCGGGGGTTCGCCTTGCTCTCTGCCTTCTGATGGTGGGGTGGACGCATCCTGCATCACCGGGTGTCGGGCGCGAGACTCACAAACAGGTTGGACGCGGGGCTTTGGCCGTGCCGCATTTTGTTGGGCTTGTTCACAAGCAACGTCAGCCCCAAACCCTTAACCCAATGAGGTTTGAGGGTTGTACATGACTTCATTTGGCAAGGGAAAGCCCTTTGTAGAGACACCACTGGCAAGACAGGTCGCCGTTCTAGTCTGGTGCAGTTAGGATTACCCTTACCCCTTATTCTTTAAACCCTAAACCCTAAACCCTAAACTCCTTGAAAGCCTAAACCAAACAGAGAAATGCTCCAGAAAGGTGTGCCACAACTTCCCGGAGTTCAACAGGCGGGCTAAGCGGTTCAATTCAGGAGTCTTGGGGTGACCCTTTAAGGGTAATAGGAGTTCAGGCCCGGGGGACAATTCCACCATAGTTGGTTCTTTCAACCCCCAACCCCCCGGCCCCCCAACCAAGGATGGTTTCTTTGGGACTTGGCATCTGCCAACACGCAGGGCTTCATGAGTCTCGAAGACAGGGGTGTTGGGGGGGTTGCGGTACGTAAAGCACTCCCCGTTCGCAGCAGTCGAACCGATGTACGAAAGATACGTTATCGATAGGGCAACAGGCTATTCCCAGGACTTGCCGCAAAAACCCAAGTCCCTATCTTTAGTTGCACTGATAACCCACTATAGGATTGATACACTGTTAAGGTGGAAAATCCCAAACCCCCAGCCGTAAACCCTAAACCCACTTTCAGGGTTCTTTGGATCTTAAGAGGGCCTTGACACAAAAAAGTCTTCGGGTAGTTACATGGTCCCTTAATATGGGCCCTTAGATGGGAAACCCTGAGATGCCCTCTATATGCCCTATAGAAACCAGAAGGGACCATACTTCAGAACCTTTTATCAGAAGGTAATGGGCCATGTTGAGGATCCCTTCGAGGGTCGTATATGCCCCTTTATCTACGCTACAAAAAACCTTAAAGGACCAGGCACCTGCCTTTAGATGTAAGCCCTCCGACCAGTGGCAGGACCCAGTTTCGAGACCAAATCGGCGAGGCGCCAGTTCGATCCCGTTGTGTCGAAACCCTA